ATAGTTACATACAGTACGGCCTGAGATGAAATAATCAATAAAAGAACCAAAGGAACTTATCTTCATCTTCTGGCATAATTAATATTTATTTGCGTAGGATTATAGAAAATATGAATTAGATTTCATAATTCTATTTTTATATCAAACGGTATATAGTTTCGTAAATTTCGTAGTTATTTTTATAGCTTCCTATTCTCTCTCCTTCTCCCTTCCTTCCCCTCTCTTCGCGCGCGCGCGCACGCGTGCGTGCGTGTGTGCGTGCATGCGTGCGTGCGTGAGTGAATATGAATACATATTTCATATTTGTTTCACATTATATTTGTTTTTACATTTCATTATTTTTTTTATTTTATTTTTTATTTTAAAGCTTCAAATGTCTTTAATCTAATTAAAGTTTTAATCTTTTATTTATCGATATCAAATGTTATAAAATAAGATTGAAAATATTTGAAAAGTATCTTCATCACAAACGATATCTCAAGATGTGTTATCTGAAAGAAATGTTTAGAACATGAGATAAATTTGATCCTTTCTTAGAAGAATAATAAATGACTGCTATCATTTATCTGTATATCTAAATATATACAGTTTAATAAAACAGTTTTTATCTGTGTTAAAATTTTATTTTAAATATCTTTAGTAAGTAGTACGATGGGAAATCACGGGATTGTACAAATTAACGTTTTACATAAAAATTGCAGAGGTTCAAGGGAGCCATATGATTATAATATTGATTCATTTGCAAATCCCATTATTAAAATGTTTTATGATCGTTATTCTTTTTAATGAAATATATTTTTTTTATTATGCATGATGTATGTAATAACTGTTTAAAATAAAGTGAGACATCATGTATATCTTTTTAATTTAAAATAATTTTGTTCATTAGTGATAATGTTGTAAATTATCATGTTGTTTTTTAAGCCTTAATAAAATGAATTCAGCAAACATTGGCAAACATATTAATAACGGTTCGCAATATAATGACAACACACAAAACCACTGCCCAATAATTGATTTTCAAATATGAAAAAGGAAATTTTTTTTTAATTTTTTAAAATTTTTTTTAATTTTTACTGCACTCAGTTTTGAACAATGACTTTTGATACTAATTCTTATATCTCATCTATCTTTTATTTGTGAATTGTGAATCAATCTATCTTGGTTGCTAACCTTAACCTGTTTCTAGTATACTATTTTCATCAAGCAAGATGTGAGAAGGTAAGAAATAATATCAGTGCAAGACGGAGAAACGATGAGTGTCACCCGGCCTACATTCAAAATAATAGTGTATCGGTACAAAGTAAATTTGCTCGTATATCACTATGTTAAATCATAATTTTATCGCTAGTTTCAAATTTTGCAAAATTCTACTTCAATAATAAAAAATAAAAGAAATATAATCAGAAAATAATAAGAAAAGGCAATAATAAAATCATAATTAAAATAAAATATATTTTAATATATTTTAATATTTCTCTTTCATAACATTTAATGGTAATGTGCTGAAATGTTTTGAAACAAAAATATGTAGAAATCATTTCGAAAGATATATCGTAAAATATCATGATTATACCATATAATATAACCATCGTTGTACATTTATATCATACCGTTATTAGTTATTACTGAAGAATTGAAATTACGATATATACATTCATATTCCACATCGTAATTAAAACATTAAAATATATAATAAAACTATAAAATTGTATTTGTATTCGTAAATGATATGCGATTAATGAATTGACTTTTTTTGTCTGTACGTAACTTACGTAATGTTATTCGGGAATTAATAGACAGCTCGAAATTAGAACATCTTAAATATCGTGAGCATGAGTATTTCGAGTACGTAGTGCTGCACTAAAATTCGAAACTTCGCAGTAAGTTACATAATTATGGTATCGATATAATTTCTATTTCTATTTGTATATGTTATTCGTTTGTTATTTTCTTTTTTTTTTATTATTAAATAAGATTAATCGATACGTCTTTGATTTTCGAAAGAAATGATAAGATGTAAAATACATTTAGCGCAGAAATCGAGATTAATTAAGATAAGAGGTTCTGCAGGAATTTTAGAACCGTATGAATTTGGTAATAAATGACAAAAAAAATTAATTAAAATTATAAATAAATTGATTATACAAAGATAATATATAAGACAATATAATTTCTTTCCTTAAATAGACATGCTAAAGAATCTGAAACTATAACTAGAATTACACTACTATTAGGTCATTAAATATGAAATGTCCGATTTGAAATTAAAAGTTTGGTTCATTATATCTCAAACAAGAAGCAGTATAATTAATCAAAGTATGCGCCTAAACTGTCGATACAATTTTGTCATCTTAACGGCAGCTTGTTTATGTCGGCAGCAAAGAAGCTGTAGAGCGAATGACAATGAAGTTGCAAAAGGCGTTCTTACACACAGTTTGTTGAGAATTAAATATTTTTCCTTGCAAGAAGGAAGGTTCAATGCCTGAAAAAGGTAATCTTTAAAAATTTAAAAAAAAATTGATCTAAAAAAACAATTCGAAAGAAAATTGCAAATAAAAATGTGCGCTTGAAAGAGTGATAATGTACCTTAAAAATAAAAAGAAGTCAAGAATTGTCAAAGTGATATGTCAAAGATATCGGCTCTTAAACGTGGTACTTAAGAAAATCATTTCATACTCAATGACCTAATTTAACTAGGATCACACACCTGTGTACGCGCGCACGCGCACACATACACACGCATCTACACACTCGCATATGCACGCACGCACGCACGCACGCACGCATGCGTTCATACACGTCTCTATGTAGTAAAGAAAATTAAGAAATATTAAAGCTAAATGGTATATAAAAATTATCTGTAAGATTTATTAGAAGTATATTGACTTGCAAATCTATATTATTAAGTAAACAAAATTTAACATATTAAATCTACATTAAATCGCTTGAACGTTTTTTAGGCACGTAAGTATCGATATAATCACTGAACCAAATCGATATGACATGGACAGACAAGGGGATTAATGAGATCGAGAGTGAGGGTTGCGGCTCAATCCCGGTGACCTCGAAACCAAACCGGCCTCGTCACGAGACGCAAGGATCGATATTCGCACCACCATTCGCTCTAATACGATGCAGATATCACTCGACCGTTCCCACTTTCTCACCATTAAATTGTCGAGAAGCATTACGTCACTCGATGCAAACGATTGTCAAGGTGCAAACTAGTCAATTTAATAGAAAATAGAAAATTTTGCTTGATTTTCGTGTATCAACATATTAACATTCCTTTTCGATATAATGAGTTTGGTACAATCAGTTTCGAAACGTCGTTTAACGAGCAAAGGATGAAAAATCAGACCGATTCGCTTCCAAAATATTCTTATTGTATATCATATAGATAACATTTCATATCATTATTTTTAAAACAATTACTGATACAAATAAATGCTAAATAATATAATATACTCAGTCATAAGTCAAAGTTTATAAATGGAACAAGATGTCATTTTCATTTAAATATTGTGAAATTAATCCTATTTCAATTTTAAATAGCAAAAATATGCTTTATTATTAAACATGCTGCTACAAATCTTTAATTTGGGATTCTCCGTCCGATCGCTTCTTCTTCCTTCCTTTTTTTTTTCTTTTTTCCTTCTTAATACTTAGTCAAATTATACATTAAAAAACAAAGAGAAAAAAATGAACATATTTATTGAAAAATTATGATTAGAAATATATATTTAAAGAGATGAGAATAAAGTAATTCGTTGAGAACCTATTAGTGTTAATTTAAAGTTATCGCGACTGCACTTCTTACAATTTTAAAGAAATTAAGCACGCATTTCGTCGTTAAAGAGAGAAAACAAAGCGCAACAAAGATGAATCAATCTTCTAAAAAATGATAAAAATCATTTAATAAATTTTTAAAAATCTTCGTATCTTTATTATTCAAAATATTATTTTAGAATTTTGACGTACGTTCAATAGGGTTTCAGCGCATTGCGGCGAGCATCAACAGGAAATCACCTTTTCCGTTATTTATTTAATATTTTTAAGAGATGTACGCACGACGAACGCATACGCATTGACATATACGCACATTCGCGCGTATCCGTTTGTTAACGCATAGAAGATGATTAACTAAACTTACCCACCTCTTGATAGGACGCTCGAACAATAAGCGAATCCCTCAACATTCCCAGGAAGAAGTTTACCTCGAGTCTTCTCGTCACAAATAACGATCGGACCTTGGGGAAAGAAACAGAGGCACCACAAGAATCAGAGGGATGGTGTCAAGACCACGTGTAATCTTGTTCAGGATACACTATTCTCACACTCATACGTTTAACAGGCACTTCCGGGGGCGGTAATCGCACACGATCGCTGCGAAGAGATCGCCGAACGTCAGTCTACGGAGCTACGTTTACCCGTCTCGAATACGATATGTCAAGTGACAACTGACAGCGCGATCAATCGGACACACAGCGCCATCTTCTCAAACTTACACGACGACTCAAGCGCGTGTCGACGGAAGATGGCACTGGCGACGAGAGTCGCGTGATAAACAGTAGCCAATAGTAAGTAGGCAGGGCGTCTATTTACGAACGCAGCGCGGAAATCGCGCGAACGTTTTACGAACGCAGCGCGGGCATTTGCCGGCACGTGTTATGTGACCAGGAAATAGGTCTTCCTGGGAGTCATTTTCTCGACGTGGGGTCTCGACGAGGGGATAAGTCGTTACCACCAAGTAAGTTCCCGCCAAGATTTCACGCTTTTTCGCGCTTTTCGTGATTTTGCGGTGACATTCGTAACACCTGTCCATTACTCGTTATTTTGAACGTCGTTTTTCAGGTTATGGCGTGCCCTGCCCCTCGATCGCTTGGCGGGAGATGCAGCACACGATTGACGATTTCTCGTGGACTTTGAGGAGGCGGCTACTTCGCGACGCGGCACAGTCGTGCTTTTAGCGCGTTTTAGTCACATTGCCAAGTACGATATGGAGCCTGTTCACAACGTAGCGTTCGATTTTGTGATTGTATTTGCTCCGATTCTCTTGATCTTTGCTACGTGTCTCACAGTCTTCCACAGACTGAGGTGAGTCGATTTTGTTTATTACTTTTTCCGCACGTCCCTTATTATACCCTTCCTTGCAAAAGGGGATACTTCGTTATTTGCATTATTGTTTGCATTTTTTTTTGCAGAGCGAGATGGCCTGTGAAAGTGAACTGCTGGTTTTGCAACGAAAACACGAAAATTTCAAGGCAAAACCTGGGCTGGTGGTTGTGTCCGTGGTGTGAACAATATAATGGTTTTTCCAAGGTGAATTATTTTTGTTTCTTTTACTGTATTTTTTTTATTGTAATTTATTTATTTATTTAGTAGAAAACTATTTTCTTAATATAGTTTGCCAACAAATGTAATTTATTTTAGAATGGCGATTATGCATACGATATTCCAGAGCAGCGTACAATTTCGAAAATGCATAAAAAATATTGTAAATTGTCTGAAAGAAGTGACAAACACAGTATTTTCAAGAATAATCTCTGTACATACTGCAACGAGCGAGAGAGTCTGAAACTGTCGGAACTATCCAACTTTGAGCCTAAAAACGAGAAGCTTTTTAAGGCAGAGCTGAAAGCATTTAGTGAATATTTGGAAATGAAATATCCGTTATGCAATGGCTGCAAATCAACAGTGCGGAATGTGTTACATAGGCAAGCGCTGTGGCTTACTCGTTACAAAATGTTGTTTTACAGGAAGAAACCAATTAACGCGTTTATTGGTGTAAGTATATTTGCCGGAAAGACGTGCAAAGAAAGTCACGTTATTATAAAATTAATGCTTGATACTTCATATGCAATTGTAGCAATAAATAATTGTTGGTTAGCACTCTTGCAGAAAGCAAGAAAATTGGAAACAGTTTTCCGAGTTCTTTCGACGATAGTGCTCCCAATGATCATATACAACTACGATTTCATTTGGCTGCCAATCAGTGGACTATTCTTTCATTTGTGCGCTTGTTGGGCAAGTTTAACGAGTAGGAGGAAAAATTCTGATGTATTTCTGATGTTTTTATGGTTCTGCATCATTAGTCTTGAAAATTTGACAATTCTTCATAATGCCTGGCTTATAACAGAATATATCACGCGATCTCACATGGTAAGTTAAACAAATAATACTTAAATTATTGTGATGTTTGAATGGAACTTTTATATATTTAGTTTAATAATCTGTTTCTGTTCAGATAGCATTATGTGCACTCGTCATAGGCTTAGTAAATCTAAGATCCAGTTCGTATAAAAATACATTGACCGGCTCAGTAGCGTTCAAGAAGATCAAGTTACATACAAGGGATGACATGTCACCTGAACTGACATTTAACAATCAAAGCAAAAAGAATAAAATTTCAAGCGAAGCAAACGACAGTATTAAACCATCAGTCTACACGGCAGATGACTTATCTTGCACTGAAATCAAATTCAGCAAATCACATTCAGCAATGTAAATATTTTACATTACTTTTACTCTTCTCGATCTGCGGACGTTTTTATTATGTTTATTTATTTTTAGATTAAGACAGAAACTATCTATAATTACTGCAAGCGACAGCAACAACAGTTGTCTAAATCTAAACTCCGTCTCTCAAAACGAGAATAATTCATCGGACAATTGCTGTTTGAACGACAGCCTGAGCACCCTTCTTCTGAGCGAAGATTCACCGAGATACAGTAGAGCTGCGAAAGCAGTACCGGCAATCTTCGAGCGAAAGGTGTACAACGCAACGAGCAACGAGAATCTGTTCAGGATGACCAGCAGTAAAAGAAAATGCATCCTGTCGCCACCGAAGCTCGGATCGGTGACGCAGACCTCGTGGGTGGCTGGTGGTTACTGGCAGGAGGGTATGATGACCGCCGTGCCGCCCACACTTTCACGATCGTCTAGCCAAAGCTCCGGTTTTGTATCGGTTAGCTCTTCCAATCTCGCGCCTTCTCGCGAACCGTCTGTGCACGAGTTCGATCGGTGCTCCGTCGTGTCGGAGGCCACGCGATGGTCGTATCAGACGCCACGATCGAGCATGGCGTGCCCCGTCGTAAGGCGTGATTCGCCAATTTCTCGTCCACAGTCGCGATATTCCGACGCGGGTCATTCGCGGCCGATACTGTCGCCGACGATTCGCGCGATGGGCGATTTCATCCAAGATAATTACGTTCGCGGGCCGAACGATGGGGATCGAAATGGCACGGTGCCAGTGTATTCCGGTCATCATACGACGACGATCATCGCGAGCCCCGGTTGGTTGTCCGCCCTCCTCTGCGGTTCGCTGATACTGAACATGATAGTACTGTGCACTACGTTATTACGTTAACGTCGCGACGACCGGAATCACCATCGCGTCAGGTTCTTGTGTGTTCACGCGGTAATTTTTATCAATCACTTGGATCGTGTAGCATTAATTAAACCTCGGGTACTCGGCGAATTTGGTCAGTTGACCAGGAAGATCCCGCGGATGATTTCCTTTTGTTGTTTTCTTATCCTTTACATGCGGTCTTCTACTGTCGATTTCTTAGATTCTAGAACGTACTCTCAAGTCTAAGCTTGGGATTACTTGCGAATATTTAGGAGATAATGAGATTACTGCCAGTTAGAGAACGAGTACAATATTCCGTTCTATTGCCGGAAAATAGTAAATATGCCACACACTGCCAATGTACTTGCTCATTGAACATATCTGCCATGCTGCTATGCTTTCTCTTTATTATTCTTTGGCCAACAGGAAATTTCTGTATTGTATAGATTATCTTTAGTATGTATGTATGTATATTTGCCAACTCGTTTTCTTTCTTATTATCTTTTTTTTTTTCTTTCAGTAGATTTCTTTCAGTACATATTTCTGCCTTTTGTCGTTTTCGTCGAGACATTGTGTGTCTCGAATCTTAATTGCTCGGACGTAAGGCTGGACTTTACGGAGCAATCCGCTCAATGCCAATTTTGTAAATGCGTAAACGCATTTTTTTTGCGCATTCATGAATATAATGCAATTTTTTCTAGATTTCCAATCGTGACAAAGTTTAAAATAATGCGGAAACGAAGAATATTCGCGTATTTTATCGTCCGGGAATAATTTCGTCCAAAAAAGAACAGTATCGCACTGCGAAGTGTTTCATAATACTATTTACATGTATTTAGTTTATAGTTTAGACTTCTTTTCGTACAGAATTATTCCAGAAAGGATAGAACGTATGCACGAATACTTTTACACTTTGTAATTATATAAAAATTTCCAGTGATAAATACGTACGTATGTAATTTTGTGGTATAAATAAATATACTTGTTTACGCGTTACACGCTGAATATTTCTTGTTTTCCACATGTAGTATTATTTATCGACGTAAAGACCGATTATACAATACTGCCGGGGACTTTGTAAAAAGAAGTGCGTTCTACGTCAAGTACATGCAGGTCTCTACTTAGCCTGTGAAAATTCTTGTTGTAATGATCATGTTGCTTATTGTATTATGAATATGGTATGTTTTGATATCTATGATATATTGTACAATTCTATCGATAAAAATAAAACTCAACTTTTATAATATAACACGTATTACTGCCACAAATTCGTAGTATCATCTTTAATTGTATCACGACCCACTGACATAAAAAGAAAAAAAGAAATAATTTCGTACGAATTAACTGCAAAATATAAACATTTCTATATGAAACGAATAACAAATTATGAATAAATTGATAAAAGTTAAACTTTTTTCCAACTTAAGGATAATATCGTAGAATCAAGCAATCAATTTTAGGATTTTACGCAGGATACGTACTCACAATAAAATGTGTGTATGTATAATATATTTTTTTATTATATTACCTTATAAATATATTTCTTTCGAAGATTACTTCGCCGGGACAGTATGCGGTGCGACAATAAATAAATACATTTCAATAAATGAATACATTCGTGTGATTTTTCCTTTTTCAATGTAAGCATTGTCGTTTCGATAATTCGAATAATAATAATAATAATAATAATAACGATATAATATCTTAAAATTACAGTTTTAATCCGAGGAGAGTGTTGTATTACAATTTATATAGTACCTTGTAGCTCTACAGCCTCTCTTCTACACCCTGCATACAAATTTACTACCACCTAAAGTCTAGGAAAAATGTTTAGAATTGCAGCTATGCGTTTTCTTTTTTTTTTTTCTTATTTTTTCCTTTTTAATTTCGTTTTCGCTACTTGCTGTTTCAGATGAGGTAGATCTGAACTCGATCGCTGATGCGGAAAATGTTGGCGGAAATATCTCGCGTGACAAAAAAAGATCGTTACAAAAATCGTTTTTCGGGATCGTTGCGTAGACTGCCGGAAGTTAAGTGTCGGTCTGCTCGCTGATATTCTCTGAGATCGTCTCTCGACAATGGAAACGGGATTCTTCGTTCTCCTTTACTTTAAAAAAAAAATCGCGAGAGACAAGAAATATTTTGCTCGCTCGTCGAGACGAAGAAAAAGCTACGGTTGTAGATCGACCTCCTCTTTAACAGTGACTGACTGCGTGCACAAAAATCGTTATAATCTCGCCTACTTGACTTGCGATAAGTGTAGTATATTTTTTTCAGACACGCCGGTGACGTTACGAAAATAATATGCCGATAGCTCTGTCTTCCCCGCATTCGTCGGCGAACATTGCTCGATACATTACACATACATCATTAATAATAAGAATCGATTACTGTTGCGCTTAGGGATTGTTATCGCCTATCACAAAGATCGGTAGCGATTTCTCACATGATTTCTTACATAATCTCGACTTCTCAATCACGTCGCGAGAAAAGAACGAGAGGGGGGGGGGGTGGGGGGGGGGGGAGAGGGAGATCGAAATCGGCAATCGCACAATTACAGTTGTTTGTTGAAACCGATGATTTTGTTCCATGATAATTAATCGAGAAAGAAAGCAAGAGAAAGAAAGAGAAGGAAAACCGTGAATCGTCATGGACACAGTTACAGTTTTCAGCGCAACACGATTGAGGGGGATGAAGGGGAAAGTACATTCATCAGCGTCTAAGAAAGGACGCGCATCGAAGAGAGAAACATTAACATTATAGGTGTGTATATTATATTATACCTGCGGTAAATACAATCGTGCATAGAACGCATGCTTGCTCTCTTTCATCACGGAGCGGAACGCACCCTTTTCCTTCTACGTTCCGCCGCGAGAAACTAACGTGACACATTACATGTATATTTTATATATATATATATATATATATATATATATTATTACATACACCGAACAAAATAGTACTTAACGAATAATTGCACTCTACGTTAATGCACCACATGTCTTCGTCGGTTGTTCTTCGCCACGTATGAGCAAGAAAGGAAAAAAAAGACGCAACTTCCTCGTCCTCGATACATATCAACGAAAGTTGAGAGAGAGAGAGAGAGAGAGAGAGAGAGAGAAATATATATAGAAATATATATATAGAAATTTGGATGAAAAAAAGTATTAATCGAATACTTTCTCTCGCATTACATCTCGTTTCCCCCGCGTCGTACTCCACAAAAAAGCTTTTACAAAGATTCAATGCGGTTCGCTTAAGTCTATTATCGTTAAATAAAGCCCGCGTGCGCTCTCGCGTTTATTCAGTTGCGAGAGCTTCCGCGTAAAGAGGATCGAAAACGTTTCATAAATAGCCTCGCTCGACGGAGGGAGATTACATCGATTATGCGCAATCGTGGATCTTTTGCAGAAGCGACGATAAAAACGCAGAATTGCAGAATTGCCGTGTAACGAGGAGATGCACGATTACCAAGTGAAAGGCCATCGTTGACGTTCGCCCAGGCCGTTCATGCGGTCTCGGGCGAATCTTATCGCGATTAAAATTAATAATAATAATACGGCTGTCTCGAGCGCGCGATCATACATAGAGAAGAATTCCTTATAAATGGATTTACAAAAAGTCGCACGATATTTCGCATGTAAATTGGCGGAAAAAAATAAGCGTAGAAAATAACGTGATACAAATGCGCGAGAGAACTGAGCTAGGTGTAAAGAAAAAGTAGCGGGGATCTCTCGAAAAGGATTAATGACGACGCCGCGAAACTCCGATGACTCTTAAGGTTCCTTCCTCTTTCCTTTTTCCCCCTCTTTTCTCTTTTCCTCTTGGGAACCGCGACAAGTAGAGAGAATCTCTACCGAAATTACTCGCTCGTATCCGAAAAAAGTGAGAGGAGAGGAACTCCAAGGCTCGCCGGAGGAAGGCCGAAACTTCCCGTCGCTCGGTACGCTTCGCTACTGGTCGCCAAAGAGCGTGTCGAGGATAAATTAAACTAAATTAGACGCGCACGAGAGATCGGAGAGATGCTCGGCGAACTGTGCGCTGTGTATACCGCGCGATGGCCGACAGTCGTCGCTCAAATCGCTCTCCTATCTTGTATCGCGGAACAGGTCCTCGAAATGAATTTCCCTCGCTCCGATAAGACCGCACGCCAACTCGCGACGTAACGCGAGAGCTCTGGAGAGAGCAATTCTACGCTTGAATCCCGTTCAAGCGTGCCCTCCGGCAGGATGCGTTCGGGAGTCCTCGGAACTCGGGTCCACGGAACTAGAACTCGGTCCTGATTTTTCACACTCAGACGAATCCAAACGGACATCGCGCTCGAGTCGGGCGCGGAGTCAATTTTCAAGATTTGTGCTAGTGCCTAAGGCATATATGTTACGAGTTTCGTGGACGCGAGACTTTTATCGTGCGCTCTTATCGCGAGGTATTCTTATCTTAGCTAGTTGGGTAGAAAGAGAGAGATTTCTTACGATTATATTTGTCTAAGCCGCGGTCATCTTTACACTCGCTCAAAGCCGCATGTCCGATCGTCTTCTCGATTAATTTGTAATTAATTGGCATCTGAACTAAACATCTTAAGTATTCGTTGCCTCCTTCTCGAGATCTCGAGGCTCCTGGTCAACGCGATCGCGCGATCTTCGCTTCGAACTCGTAGGATGGCGGCAAGTTTTTTTTTCTTGATTTGCTCCGTTCGTTCCAGACTGAGCGCGATTTAAATAGGGACGATAAATATAAATTATTCCATAAGAGTGATGAGAGACTTCTTCGTGTGGTCGTTCGAATCAGACATTCATTTCAATATCTATTCGAATCATGCATATATGTATACGTACATGACATTAAATTAAATAATTTATAAAAATTAACTATTTACATCGACAGGACATGCAGCGCTCGTGATTAAATATATTTATAATTTAATGCACTTATCTTATATATACCTAAGCAGATGCTTGCTCTGAGAAAAAAAAAAAAAGAGGAAAAAAACAATAAAAAGAACTGGCGGTGCTCTCTCCTTGTGGACAATATAGTACTATGCCCTTATTTTAATAATAATGTTAATAATTGTAACATTTATGCATATCCATTATACATAAGAGCCGCTGGAATTCTTTTGTTTTCGTCGATGAAAGCGTTCTTGCATTCGTTTTCTGTAAAAGTGAAGGGTATTTTGGCATTATGCGATCACGATCACTGTACGCTGTTACCCATATCTGTATGTGTGTGTGTGATCAGGAACATGGAAACAAAAAGAGAGGAAAACAAATAAATCTCCAAAGTAAACATTGATCAATCAAACAGAATTTCATATTTCATGAAATTAACATTTCATGATGCCCGATATAAATAACTGATACAGCGCAACTAAAAATCGTATCTCAAATAATTAAACTCGCCATGCAAGAAAAGATACGATCGATTGTACATTGGAAAGGAACGTCGCGAGGTTTGTTCGATTTTGTTTTTTATATACATATATTTATTTGCTTATTTCCTCTTTCATGAAATCGCGCAAAAAGCCTCGTGCCCAAGTCAAAAAGATATAGAATATGTACAAAATCGACCCACTTACTCTAAAGCGTAGAGCTGCCTGGGGTCGCCACCCCTTTTGTAACGTAAAACCGAACAAACCCACACAACGACACACAATGTAGGTTTTTTTTTTAATTAAGTGAATCTAAAAAAAGAAAAACAAGACGATTGTATATATACACATATAATATGAAAGAAAATTTGCGAAATAAAAACGAAAAGAGAAAAAAAAGACAAAAAAAAAGGACGACGATTTTAATTGGCACCTTACGTAGACAAAGGGAGATAAAAAGACTATTCCTTACCACGATTGCCGGTTCTGATGGCATTGACGTTACTCAGGTGGTGTTGACCGGCGCGAATCGGCTTGGCGATCTGCGCGCTTGGTCCGCGACGCGCCAGATTCTTTTGCCTAACCGCCTCCTTGATTCGGTCCACCTCGTACTGATATCGCTTACGATCTCGCATCGCGCCTTCCTTGGCGTCACGTAACGCCGTCTCCAGGGCCTTGACGCGCTCCATGGTCGCCCGCAATCGTTTCTCCAATTTAGGCAACTCGCAGCGAAGGTCGGCATTATCCCTGACGAGTTGTTTGTGCACCTGTAATTAATATTTTACGCATAAAGTTAGTCATTAACAGTAACAATTAATAATACAAACACATGAGTAAAAGTAATAAATTTCACATTTTAATTATAAATAATTAATCAATAGTGACACATTAATAGAAAATATATGATAAACAAGTGTGATATATGATTCGCTGATGTTTAAAACTATACCTTAGTTAGTTGATCCAGGTTGTTCTCCAAAAAGGATATCTTCTGTTTCTGTGCGAGAGAACCACCGTCATCTTCATTATCCTCCGCGTTGATGGTTTTCTTTATTCTAGCCTGCAAGTCTTGGACGAACAACTTGCGCAAATTGTGCAAAGTCTGCAGTTCTTTGGCTACCGTATCCTCCAATCCCTTGAGATCCTTTCTTGCCTAGAATAGGCATTTAACGTGATCATAAATTTATTTCGCATGAAATTTTATGCTATGATCAATAATGTACCACCACGTGAATTTTTGTATCAAACATACTTGTTCTCGGCGCTCGTTCAACAGCATAAGCTCCTGCAGCTTAACCGACTTATTAGCCTCCTCTTGCTTTAATCGTTCGTAATCGGCCTGCATCTGTTGATGCGCCAAAGTGAATTTCTGATTGAGATCTTTAAGTTCGCTGATCAGTTCCTGTTTCTCAGACAGTTCATCTCTGAGCGCGGCAACCTTGAATAGAATAAGATCGAAAGTTAGAAAGTTTTAAGAAAAAATGATAATTAAATTGAAAATTGAACAATTAAAAACTTAGTAAATAGCTGAAATATTTGACAAATAAGTAACCTGTTTTTGATGCGCGTCTCTCAGCTGATCCATCTGTTCTTCCAAGGCCACTCGCATTTTCGTCGCTGCCTCTTTTTCCTCAGCCTTCTCCTTGTTGGTAACCGCTTGCACCTGTTCGGCGGCCTTCAATTTGGCGCATTCTTCGCGCAACGCGTCTACGTCTTCTTCCAAGGCTCGCTTACGCGTTTCGGCCTCCTTCATCGATTCCGTTAACGTTTGCATACGGGCTTCGTGTTGTGAAATCAACAGCCGGCATTCGGCCAAGTCTTTCTCGTACTCGGAAACCTAGACATTGACGCAAGATGAAAATTAATTAGAGAAGAGAGACGCGGAAAGGAAATCGTGATTAATGCGATGACGTGAAACGCAACCGTGACCACTCACTTTCTTGTTACAGTCTACTTGGAAGCTTTCCAATCCCTGACATCGCTGGACCAAATTCTTCACTTCAGACTTCATCTTGCTGATGAATAATCGTGCCACTGTGAACTCCTCCTCCAATTTACCGTTGCTCTCCGGTGGAGCGATCTTGAATACAGATTGAGATCATAATTGACAAAATCTATTGTAAAATTTATGTTAAATAAATCACAGAAAGTAAACCTAATCTTTATACTTTTATTCTATTAATGGATTTAAATATCTTTATATTTTTATTCTATTTAAGAGGATTTAAATATATTATTACTTTTAGGTTTTCATTAGATTCGCCACCGATAGCCACGCCAATCTCCCCCAAGTCTTTTAGGAAATTTGCTAGCATCTCTGCGATGCGTTTTCTTTGATGGGCCGACATGTCACGTAACTGTTGTAGTTCGGACGCGGTGTTATTCAGAGCTACTTGCTTAGCCAAAAGTTCCTCAGTCATTGATTCCTGTTCCTTGTTCTTCAGCTCAACCTGAAATTAGAATAGCATAGATAAAAATATGTATGTTTTTCTGAATAATCTTTCTTTCATCGTTCACAAATCAATTACCTCTTGCGATTTTTGATCGTAATTCACTGCAAGCTCCTCCAGCGCTTGCAACACCTCCTTCACCTCCTCTTTAGCGCTCTCATTCTCCTGCTGTATTCGATTCATCTCCTGCTGCAACTGTTCGTAATCTCGCCTCGCGCTGGCGATAAGTTCCTCCTGTTCCTCCATCTGCTCCTTCAACTTTTCGACATACTGCGACTGTTGATTAATTTCCTCATCCTTGTCGTCCAATTGTTGATACAGCCTCTCGCGTTCCTCCTCGAGCTTCTGCCTCTCCTCATTCGAGAGGGAACCGATCATAAGACCGCCGCCAGGAGTCGCAGGCATCGGACTATCATCCAATTTGCCTACAAACAAAACGCTTTACGATTCCAACTTGTGAAAGTTACATATCTAATCTGTATCAGCAAGATAATTTTATATTTTTAATCTCTTACATCTTTTCTTTTGCCTTAATTATTCAAACGAACCGTTTATTTTCTCTGCCTTCATTACCTTCAATGGATGCAGTGATTGGTGTGGTAACATCCGGTCCTTCAATTAGGCTGACTTGTTCTTCTGGTTTGACAGTCTCACCCTGCCGCCAACGCGATAATTCCGCTTCCAATTTGTCCACTTTGCCCTTCCATCTCGCCACTTTCTCCTTCTCGCGTTCGTAACGACGTTTCCACTCTTCGGCCGTCAACTCCTCGTTCACGCATACAACGTTCTTGATGGTCTTAGCGCGTTTACCTGTAATAAACACATTCCACAAAATCTGCCGAGAATAGAGCGGCGTATTGCTGCTTATCAAAGAAATCTTTAAAAAATCTACCGAAATCCAAAGTTGATTTTGTTTCAGATTCGTTGAAGCTAGCGGGAGAGCAACAGATGATGATTGTGGTTCTAGCATTGCCACCCAAGGATTCTTGCAGGATTCTCGTTAACTTGGAGTCACGATAAGGAATGTGAGTCTTATTGCCGTCAGCCAAGGCCGAGATTACATTACCAAGTGCAGACAGAGATTTATTAATATTTTTCGCTTCATCTAGCACCGTTCCTTCTGCACCAGTTTTAGAAACCTATTGAAACATGAGAACGTAAAAATATAATAATATGGAGTGGAAAAAATAAAAAAAATATATTTCTTTTATACAATCTTACCTTTTCGGAACCGGCTAAATCGACGAGATACAGCTTACCGGAGAGCTTTTTTTGATTCTCCAGATTCTCTTGTTTGACGTTTATAAGGAAAACGGAATGGGAACGTGAGCTGTGCTCGTTCATGTTGGTCACGGCGATATGCCGGTTTGATTTGCCCTCCTCTATCACCTCGAACACCTCTTCAGGACTAGAAACAAACCGCTCAGTCGCGCCTTTCACGAACGGCACCCGGTTCTTGTCTTCATGTACGCTTAAATTAACTTTAGATACTGAAAAAAATTTACAAGGTTTTTTGAAAAGCACATAAGGGAGATATTATTGTGCTAACATCATGATTTAATAAATTAATGCAGGATTAAGCGATGATCTTACCATCGAGGAGATCCCTGATTTTATCCATATAAATTTCAAAGTATGATACTTTGATGTGAAATTCCAAATTCTCCTCCATGCCATAGATGTGATTAAAGATATCATTGACGATTCTTGGAATAATTCCTTGCTTGTTGGGATCGCCAATGACTCCCTCCATTGTGTGCGTTTTACCTGCATATGGAGAATTTTATAACATTCATTTTCTCCATGCAAAATTTGAGCATTCTTAAGTATAAATGTAGAATTTGATTTTAGTATAAAATCGAAGTAAAATCTAAAAATCATACTAGATAAATTAGTAAACACCTAGTTCTATAATAATTATCTTGTACAATTCTTTACCTGACGATGTTTGACCATATGCAAAAATGGTTCCGTTATATCCTGCCAGAACGTCTGTGACAATAGACTTTGCGGCCTCATTGTAAACTTTATCTTGCGTAGCATTTGGCTTAAATACTTTATCAAAGAGGTACACTTTGCCCTACAATCAATATATCACATATCCAAAAATTTATATTTGGAAGAACAAGTTTTCAACAAAAGTAAATTTTGTAATTGTAGAATTTTACATATTGTAGAATTTTAAGTAACATAAATTTTCTTACTTCTCTACTATTATAATTTACTTAATATCAATGTTTAATTAAATACACACAAAATTCTAATTATACATATAATTTTAACTATATCAACTTAGAGTACAGACACAATGAATGGAAATAAGGAATAAGGAATTAAATATAAAGAATTGTAAACAGAAAATTATTTTTCACCAATGAAAGAACAGCTTGATATTTCTTGATTATATGTATATTGAGACTAATATTTCATGTGTCGTATAAAAAATTTTTTGAGAGTGTTGGCTAAATACATAATAAAGAATTTCTAGAGACTTAGAAGCTTTACTATTCTATAATCAATCTATGCTTCTAGAAACTTTTTGTCATATGACACATATGAAATATCAGCATAAAGCATGGATTCCTATATCGCAAAATTTATTTTTCTATATCTTCCCTATTCTTTATTTCCTATTTTTTATTTCTTTTTCTTTTCTTTTTCTCATTCTTTTCATTATATCTAAACCTTTGTTGCATTTACTGTATATAATATTCAATGACTTAAAAATGTTCCTAGGTAGTGTAAAATGCCAAATATAGAATGCACTTTTAAAAGCCTTAGAAACATGAATCACAATTCCGTCATAGATCTACATACACATACATAGAACATACATCTATATACAATATATGCAACAATAAGAAAACGGGAACGGATCCCGACGATTGCGCCGAGTCGTTCAAATTCGCACAGAGGCTTTATAGCGTCCCACGTACCCCGATGGAGATGCAGTTCTCCTCGCCGCCGGACGGAAACTTGACGATGAATTTGGAGCCGGCCTTCTCCTCGGAGTCGTTCAACGGCCGGAACCTGCAGACCACCTTGATGCTGTCCTCGGCAGCAATCTCTCGTTCCCTCGGCGTCTCCATTGCCATTGCGAGAGGAGGCGACGGCGACGACGATGACGAAGATGCGTTCGTGCGTGCGTGTGTGTGTGCGCGCGCGTGCGCCTTTGTGTACGTGTGTGTACGTGTACCTAGCACTCGACTGTGAGTATCGGCGCGGCCGATACTCTTCTTCTTCTTCCTCCTCCTCCTCCTCCTCCTCCTTCTCTCGTTAGGCTATTTCCCGCTGTTTCCAACTATCCTCGACTGCGATCGTACGTAGAATGAGGCATAGGCGACGGGGATGGCATAGGCGCGTACCGCATGAAGGGACTTTGTCGTCTACCTATGTGTCTATCTCCTTCTCTCCTTCTCCTCCTTCCTCTCGCCTCTCGCCACACCGCGCTCCGCTCCGCTCCACTCCGCTCCACTCCGCTCAGATCGCGACAGCAGGCAGGCCCGTCTGTCACCGTTCTCGCAAGCAGCAAGATGGCGGCCTGTAAGTGGCTGGCTCGCTGACTGGCTGACCCGATCCTGACGATCCACGAGGTCGGGAACGATCCCCGCGGCGCGACAGACGACGACGCTTCGGCAGGACCCACCCGCCTGCCCGCGCTCACTCGCTCCACTCCGTTTCGCACACGTACCTCTTTCTCCCTCCCACCCACGTTCTCCTCTCTCTCTCTCTTTCGCTTACTCGCTCGCTCGCTCGCTCGTTCGATTCGGAAATCGCGAGCCCCCGCGCACCGTTCTCTTCCGCTGCAGGCCGCGAGGACGGAGGCGATCGCGCGGCGGTGGCGGTTACGCGGCCTACCTCTGGAGAAACTTCGCGAGCGATCCCCCGATTGCGCCGCGCGCGCGCGCACAATCGATGACGAGAGAACACGGGGGAGACGCGACGGCGACGTTGCGCGCTACATACGCCGCACACCTACACTTACACCTACACCCACACGACTATGCCTACGCGTATACCTACACCCACAGTGGAACTGACCCGAGCGAGACGGAAACGCAGCGCGCCTCCTTCCTGAAGAGATGAGGAGAAGGCTCGAGTAGAAACCGACCTCGCCGTCTCATCGCGGTTAATTCGTCTCGCGTGTAACTCACGCCCTCGCACATTTCTGCACTCTCACTGCATTTCGCTAATAAACAACTTGTCGAGAAGCGATACACCTCGCTCCGGAATTAATAAAAAGGGAAAGGGAAATCCATAAATATCGGATGTTCCACAGAGACGAACTCGGAACTTTGCCTTCGTTTTCTTTGCGCGCGTTAACGCGTCCGATCGTGCACTTTTTGCACTCTACGGCTTTCTGCATCTCCTCGAAAATGCATCTGGAGGGCAACTGTATATCTTGAAATGAGTTAAAAATTATAAAAATGAGGAAATTTACATAGTTTTCGACATGTGAAGTATGTCACAGATGCTTTAGAATCTCTTGACTTTTTTTTGTAATTTTCATCTCGTATGCAATTGACTCCGTTTCAATTGAAAATTTGAATTCGAAATTCCTAATGTGCACCGCGATCTACAGCTGAAAAGAATAAATTAAGGATGTATTGGATATCGATATCGAGATATCTTGATACATCGATTCATTTAAGCGCGTAATATGAACGGGTCATGAGTTAAATTTCGACGAATTAAATTATGAATAAAATTTTACTTCTCAACAAGTATAAAAAGACACTTTTGAATGTACATCATAAATTAAGTATAAAACTTATCCTAAGAGTATAAAGATAATTATTCACTGGTATTCACAAGTATGGCTGCCAGTCGCAGTAAATCTGGCACAAATTCGCGAAATGTATCATCTTCCTGCAGAAATTACTCGATTTCGGAATGTATTATGAAATTATTCGGAATTACATTTCAATTGGGGTTATTCAGTTATTTCTATCGAACAATTCCATAATAGAATCTCTGTTAAGAAACGCTGGCCATCAGACTGTCTCTCCTCGGTGCCCCGCAGTTTAATAAAACTTCTCAACACGTAATAAAAAGTTTAGTTTTGACTGTATATTATCAAATAAAACTTATCCTAGGAATATTATTTACTGATGTTTACAAATATGGCTGCCAGCCACAATAAATTCGACACAAATTCGTGGGGTCTCGCGCTTCCTGCAGAAGTCTCTCGACCTGTCCAGAAACGCTGGACACCAGACCGTCCTCGGTGCCTTGCAATTTCTGTTCGATTCTCAAAAGAGCTCTCTTGGCGATCTTGTTGGTTTCCACGGGCGCTAAAAAAGATAAAAATTAATAAAAAATAATTTATGAATTAGGATGAGCCATAATTAAAATGCATCGAATCAAGAAATTCTTATGATTTTATATTTTCTTGGCGATTGATTTCCATTACCTCGTCCGCTATTCTCCGAAAAGCCCCTTATGACATCGCTCTGCATCTTGCACGCTTTCTCCGGCGTGATTGCCCATGTGAAGAGCGGATCGTATAACAGAACTTGAAGGAGGGTAATGATAATTTGTCTCTGATCGCGTAACATCTGCATGGTCACTTCGCAACTGCGTCTCATGGTGCCTTCGATGCCAGAAGCACCCATGGCAACCTCGAGGTCTCTGGTTAGCCTAGATTATAATATGGCAGAAAATGAATGAATGATGATGATGATTAAATGAAAAAGGATGATAAAAGTGCAATATTTAATATAAAATAAAGATATCCATAATGGTAACGGTGTTATACAAGTAATATATTTATCAACCCTGTTAGGATATTGACACAATAGAAGATATCGATATAGAAGATATTGATACAATAAAAGAAAAAAAATACTTTACACAGGCGAGTTTACCTGAAGGGAATCATCTCTGGAATAGGCAGCACCTTGCCCTGCTCGAAAGCCACACCAAAATCAATGTGGACCACCTCGGCGGTATGTTCATCAATGAGAATGTTACTCAGGTGTCTGTCACCGAGGCCCAAAATGTAACCCGCGATAGACGTGGTAGCAACGCTGCGTGTATACGTGAGAGTTCTCTCGACCCAGGTCTCGGGCGATCGATATTTCTCTTCGAAGAAATGATGAAATGCCGGCTTCATACGTTTGCAACACTCAAGAAAAACCGCCAATTTTACCTGGACAGATTGAAGAAAAATAAAAGCTCAAGATCCAAAAATGTTAGTACGAAAATATTAGAAATAAAAGGATTTCTGATTGTAAAATGTACCTCGTTTGATTCTTGCGCAACGTTCTTCAATTTCTCTCTAGCCGCATTTGCACTTAGGTCTCGCGGATAATATTTCTTGTGCATACCGGGCGTATTCGAACTCCCTGTCAGAGTTGTTGAGATGGGCATTGTGTTGTCACACCATTCCAATACGCCTGATCTCTGCGTCAATGGCACCACCTTGTATGTTCTGATACGCAGATTTCGTCGTTGTGTCTCCTTGCACGTGCGGAGCAATGTATTCATCACAGTGAACACTTGCTGCATCACGGCGTCTTGTCGCAGGTCATCTTTACCCTTGACCAACTGTCGACGCTGCACACCATCAGTGCCGATGCAGATGATCTTCTTAGGCGCAGTCACGCCACCGACAAATTCGCAGATCTCCTGATACGATCTCACGCCGATCACATTGTTATAATTACCCGACGGCTTCACGTGTAGACTCAACGTTGGTAGAAGAACGTTATTTAAATTCTTGATCTGCAAAATCGATCGATTGATTAGATTCAAAATTAAATTTTCGCATTGTGATGCAATTATTCCTTCTAAAGAAATATCGAACCATGATGAAAAAAATACCTTGACTATTGGCTGCTCCCGTGAGATTGAATAGCGTTTACTCTGATGACATATTCCCTTGGGTTGCCAGTAAGCGAAACTCACTAGCGCTCGTGACAGGATTTCCATTTCTTCAATGATCGTTCGCACGGAAGACCCAGCCAATCGTTTGAGAAGCATCTTAGCGCCTAGCACGCGACGCTCCTCTTTCTTCACGACCCTCGAACTCGATTCGTATTGGTCGTCGCAGTGCAAATTCTTCAGCGCCAGCACCACGGGCAGTGTATGATACGGATGCTCTAGGGCACATCGCTCGAGGATCCGGAAGATCCGCGTGGAGAAGTTATGCGCCTGCTTGATATCGTTGCTCACGTGGGCAGCTAATTGCGGCACTAGTGGCACAAATTTGAACGATGGTATGGTATCCAGCTCATGTAGCATCTCTTCGTTTACCTCGTCTTCGTACATGTTGTCCAACCAAAGTGCTATTAATCGAAAGATCAGCAGATTGTGCTCCTCGCTGCCGCGCAGCGTTCTTACATAATACTTTAGAGCCTGCGCGAGGTAGTTGCGTTTTTCCTGCTCGATATTCTTTAATTCGGCTGCGTCATTCGTCGACTGCTTCTGACTGATTATCACAGCGCGCTTGAAATCCTGATTCTTCATCATTTTCGCATGGTCCTCTTTATTTGTAGTATTGCTACGAGCATATTCTTTCAATGCCCCGTACATAGGAGAATTCATATATGTGGTGATCTGCTCGTACTGTGCATCGGCAAAACGTGCTAGCGCGACCTGAATGAAAATCATATAAAATTTAACAGACAGCATTTAACAAACAGAATTATTTTTTTATTGAATTAATTTAATTAATTAGACTAATAATAAATAAAACAAATAAATTAAGCTTAAAATATGACTTGAATTTGATTTGAAGAAATCAAAAGAAAAAACATTTTTTATTACAATATGAGAAAAAGTCTAAGGATATATGTTGTAACTCTCCAGGTAATTAATAATGATTATTCTATGATTTATTATTTCACCTGTGTGTCATAAAGATTTTTAATAACATCGGATGTTCGTTCGATAGTCTCACTGATGTTGATGGACGTCAAATAATATTTTTGTATCACTGCTTGAGGATTTTCCGATTTTGTTTCTGCCATCCAATCACCATAGACCCGCAGAGCTTTTGCTCTCAAGCTTGGCTCTGGGTTTTTTTTCTCGATCAAATTGCGTAATAAATGACGCGCTACCAGCTGCTCGCCATTCATCCACGCTAAAAGCGATTCCTGATAGAGTAATTGATTTTCCAGATTCATAGATAAGTTTTGATGCATTTCGAGCGTTCTCAGTGCTCGGTTGGCCACCGGAAAATTACTCTGACCTTCCGCGATCTTTGCCAAGTCCAGACAAGTAGCAAAGAATGCCTCCTGCATGTTTGCATCCGTTCGAAGAGATTCGCGTATGTGAAACATGGTAATGCGTTGCCACAAGATCGGTTCCACATGATCGAACTGACCAGTCAAACTGATCTCGTGCTCGTTCCAGCGTCGTAAAATCTCCGGATATCTCTCTTTTGGTGAATCAGACGCCCAACTCAGCTGCTCGATCTCACACAGAAGCCGTAGCTGCGACAATTTCTGATTGACAATCTTGCTACTTTCCGGGCTGATTACTCGTAGTTCATGAATTATGCTCATGCGACCACATTCAATCGCTCGCTCTACGCCCCGATGATCGTTTTCGTGGAAGCATCTCAATGCATGATAATGATACTCGTGGAACGCATTCTCCAGTGACTCTAGTCGTAATTGTTGCGTTTGAAAATCGTTATAATTGACAGCGGCAGTTTCATTAACAGGTAGATCCCATTTGCCGAGTCTCCAAGCACATTCATAACTAAAGGGAGAGAAATTCGTAGTATGAAATTTTATTGGAACAAAATACATAAAATTAATCTCAGAATTTTCTTGCAGAATTCTATATACGTAATTCACCTAAATTTCTCATCCAGACCATCACCCAGGAATTGCCACTGGAGAAACTGCAGTCCCGAATGGCATAGTGCATTTGCCATTCCCAGCTTGGCGTTCGCTAATGACGGATGATTGTGGTTAGACAATTCAATGTCCTGCGCGAGTATGACCTTGTCCCAGCGATTGGTACGTGCATAGTATTGCACGCGGGAGTCGTGATTAAGCACATGCGATACTCCAGCGCCAGATGTAGCATCCGGATCGCTGATGTTCAGATAGGTGTCCAGCATGATGTCCTGCAACACCCGGCCGACTTCCGGCTTGCATTCATAGATGTAGTCGATCCTCGGATCACTGCTGAAATCTGGATAGTCCGTCGAGATCAATCCGCAAGCAAGTTGTACAAACAATAGAGCTGTATAATATGCAGAGCATTTGTGTGCCGCTTTGGCCAGATAGACATAGTCAAGTCTTAAGCTTGTGCCATCTGGTAGCTGAGTGCGGATGTGATTTACCACATCCAGCATGCGACGTACAATCTTCTGGTCACAGCTGTCACTCTTCGACGTCGGCGACGCGATGGTCTCTGTCTCACTCATCGCAAAGTGTTGCCTAGTGATTGATACGATTTGATGATTAAATTTTGAAAGAATTTTAACGCATTGATTTTTGTACTTTAAAATATGTAGGTCTTCCTCAGAATATTATTAAAAAAAAAACGATAAAATATTTAGCAAAAATAAAAGAATAAAATTTCAAAATTTTACAAAATAAAATTTCAGAATTTTACAAAAATATCTAGATATCTACATTCAGTTTCAAATAAATGTTTCATACCAAGTCATCCGCCGTTTATTATTAATTATTAATGAGAATACCTGAAGAATTGATTGATACAGTCGCACATGGCATCAATAAAGCTAGCATTTTCGTGGATGACGAGATAAATGATCCTCGGTAGGATCACCTCACAGAATTCGACGCTGAGTCGGCAAACTGGAAGAAAGCTTTCCAGATAAGAGTCGACAAAACATTCGGCAATGTTACAGGTAACTTTGATAATCCATTCCGCATAATTCTCGTTGTTTTGCACCGTCCACAGCGCGTTCTTTGAATTCATGACAATACGAAATTTCGTAGCGTCCACGCAGAAGGAGGTCTGCGTGACATAATGACTGTGTGCAAACGGCCGGATGTAGTCGATTTTCAGAGGTGTGCAGTCAAGAATGTTCGACAGGTCTTTCGAATATTTGGAATCGAATAATTTTCGACCACTGGAGGTTGACAAAACGGCGTAAAGGGCATCCGCGCTTACCTTGAAGAAATATTAAAATATATTATTTATTTCCTTTCCTAATATTTTTAAGAATATATTTTTTAAATATTATTTAAGTAAAATATGTAAATAGAATGAAAATAATATTCTAAAAGGGAGAGAGTAGATTTCACTTTTCGATTTGCAATAATAATTTTAATGAATTTGAGGTAACACAAATTTTCATTATGAAAGTAAAAACCTTGCGAAGTTTCACTGAATTTTCCACAAGAAAACTCGTTAATATCGTAACAGATCGATAGGTCAAAGCTTCTATTGCATAGTCCGCTTCTCGGATGAGATTTCCGGCTGTTCGTAGGGCCATTGTGGAATCTATCGGACCTATTTCGCCAAGACATTTGGTGGCCTCTAATGACACGCGTAGATTAGATGATTCCATCAATCTAATAAGTCTAAAAATAAATATTTAGAGATTTTTATAGGAAATTTTTATATTATTTGATAGAATAAAAATACAGAAAGAATAAAAATACAGAAAAAAATACAGAAAGTCGGAGAAACATTAAAAAAGAAAAGAGATTAAATAATAAAATAATATTAACTCAGATAAAATAACGCTTACCATAGACTTAACATTATAAATAAGGTTTACCTAAATATCAACCGATGCAGGATACTGGCATCGTTCTCCGGATATGGTCTTTCCAATTTTCGGTGCAGTTCTCGCAGCTCCTTTTTCCTCATCGTCAACTGCTGCGTGAGATTCACAAGATCTTCTAGCGTGCACTCAACGTTTTCTTCATTCGTGGCATCTAGGAAATGTTCAAGCTCGTCTTCAAAGCATAGCACAGCTCCGTTCTCCGATCTAATGGAATTGTGAATTCTCCTCGCGTTCTGAAAGACCTCTTGATTTGGGAACGTGCCGAGCTTTGCGATAGCTTCTCGCAACACGTCTCTCTGCTCCACTATGAGAAACTTGAGTAGATCCGCGGTGACCTCACCGATACCATTCGCGTCGGATTGCACCAAGCCGATCAAATTCGCTACGATGAACCGAAGAATATCTCGGACTTCCGCGGCTCTCGCGGGGAGCGCCGATCTCAAGAACAGATTTAGAAACTTGCAGCATGTCATGGTGAGCGTCTCATCGTCATCATTCCTGGTTAGATGCAACAGGCTGTAGCAAACGTCCCGAACCAGAAACGCGGCCATTTCGTCGAAGACGGGCTTTGCAAGATTGCGCATCAACCACGTGAAAAAATACGTGTACTGATGCAATCGCTTTAGCTTACCCTCGCGACAACGTGACGAGTGAACGGCGCACACGAGTTGTAACAATGTCTTCTGCAGCACTGCTGATTGCTGGGCGACCAATGTGCGCATCTTCAGGAAGCCGTGTGATTCCAGATGATCGAAACATATATCCAGTAAAGCTCGCGAATAATGTGGCGGATCTGTTGCCGGAAAGTAAACGCACGAGATCGAGAAAACGCGCTTGAAATCGTCCTCATCGTGTAGCCGCCGTATCAATTCCACGAGAACATCTTGCAGGCGAGAATGAAGCAGTTGATTGAAATTGCACATATCCGCAAATTCGTCAATATTTTTCGTCAATTTGCGCATTATCTCGATAGCGTCGGAGTCGAATACAACCACGCGTGACATCAACCACGCGAAGCAGGTCGGAAAGACGTCTTTAAAGACCTCGTTGAAAGCCACGCCAACGCGATTCGTACAAAAAGATATAGTTTCATTGATATCTGACGTGCGCAATAAGATCGGAATAATGTGGTTGATATTTCTTCTAAAGAATTCGTTTATAGTCTCGCATCCTGTTGATAACAATGAGTTTGATATTTAATTTAGTTTTATATCAAGAATTAAATATTGAAAAGATATAATTGCAATAGCAGCTCCAATATGATTGATCTTATATATGATTTATCTTATACATTGTATATATTATAAATTCTTTTTCTTATTCTCATAAAAGCTTAACATATTGAAATTTCTTAATTGTGTTCATTGTAAATGATCAAATTTTTTTATATCACTGTTGTATTAATTTTGCATTAATAAATGCAAAATTAATACAACAGTGATATAAAAAAAATTTGCATTAATAAATTAATAAATTTGCATTAATAAATTATATATTACCCGCAAGTGTCCATGGAAAGCTCTGCAATTCATAATGCGCTTTCTCGATCCAGAAGGTTAGCAAATAATTTAAGTTATCCTCGATGAGTGACACATACGTTGTCGTGTATTGCGCCGCTGCTGAGAGAACTTTCCGCACCGTATGTACATTCACTTCCTTCTTCATCGCCAATCGTAATATAGAGCATAAGGCACGACCTTGAAGGATCCCGTTGGCACACACCACTGAGACCAGCGCAATTAAGGCACTACTCGTTCTGGTTTCTTTTTCATCCTGTTGTAGATTCTCTGTCAAACTGCTGTTATTCCAAACAAGGAAAGAATAATAAGTGTTTGCAACATTGCAACATTGTAAGTTACTTTAAATTATAAGTATTAAAGATTATTATAAGAAGAATTAATACAACTTTTTATAAATACAATTTTACTAATTTGTTTTAATATTAGATGTTAGTCCTTTCACATTTTATGTTACTATACATACTTTTGCGAATTGGGATTTGATTGCTGAACCGTTTCATCTAGCAGCTCAAACGCTATTTCCTCTATCTTGACAAAGATTAGTTCTTTCCACTTGTGAGCAACATTTCTAAAAGACAGAAGCTCCTGTAAGCATTTTATCGCTTGCGAACGGAGCACAAAAAGTGGATCGCTGATATAATTGAGAATACTATTAAACAATGTCAGAACATCGTTGCTGTCAGAAATGTCGGTACAATTCCATGAAAAGCCTGGATCGATCCGTACAAAACTGCACGCGCACTTCATGTAACTCGTATGTACGAGAATGCTATAGTTTCGCTTTTTAATGCGCTTGTAGAGCTGGTCGAGAGCGTAAACGATTTCTTTAGGTGAATAGCTGTGCTTGGTCGAGTATTCAAAGAAATAAGGCAGTAGGTTCAATAGTCGTCGTAATAATTCCTCGTCTTTGCAACCTTCCTGGCACACCTTCAGCAGAAATTCTAATGGCATGTCCGTGCATTCACGCTGGATCTCGTTGTAATCGCGTACGATGAGCGATTCGAGAATCGTCAGCGACATCCTGGAGTCCACATAATTCGTAAAGTCCTGATGCATGGTCAATAGATTACGCAACATCCTCGTTTGCACCGGGGACTTGCCACAATCCGCATCAATGTGTAAAGCGCAATAGGATGCTAGAGCCTCTACGATCTGTAGACAAATTGCATCCTCGCGTGGATTCGGTTTCGGATCTGAAGTCTCGAGGTACATGTTGACAGAACGCTTGCGTCTTCCCTGAAAAAATAAGAAGCTGGAATCGCCTATTCAAAATTAAAATTTCTTCATAAGAATCTCCGAATAAATTTTCTTGTCTACCTGAAAAGTACTACGTTCCTCATAATACTCGTAGTTGCAACGACTGTCTTCTAGATTTAGCAAGTCGAATATGTTTTTGAACATGTCCACTGTAGATGCAGAGACAATTATTCTGGCTATTTCCACATCATAAATCGCTCCATAGAGCATGCCTAATGCTCTGGTTATGCTTAGTAAGTATATATGTTTACACCTACAAAAAAATTTAATATTAACAGAAGCATTACGCATTACACATTTTGTATTTGTAAAATTTTAAGTTTAAATTTAAAATTGTACAGAACACAAATGTAACTTCGTACCTAGCCCAATCGATTTTCGTCAGAATTTCGAAACTGTTTTTTAGTTGTCTCTCCATTATATCAATCAGTGGCTGATAGCAACCGATAGTATCTTCCGTTATAAGAATGCCCAACTGCTTTAGAGCAGACAGCAATCTCGCTAAAAACGCGAGCTTTATTAGTACGATGTGGACTTCAACTACATTTTTATTCACGTTACTAAAATCTTCCTCTTGAAGAATAGCATATAGCCGTTTCTTTAGGAAATTGAGTGCTTCCTGTACATATGAGACAGGATTTCCACTGCTGAATTTCATCTCAGAACTTCGTTTGATGCGTTTATCCTTCGATTTCACTAATAACTCCAACTTGAACGTCAAAGACGCGTGACAGAGTCGCGAAAGATCCGTCGAATGAATGTCTCGATGTGGTACGAAAGTTACGCGCGTTTCCTCGCGATTCTGCGAGTATTTCGGCTCTGTCTTGGCATTCTGTTTGTAACGAGAGCTCAAAATAAGATCTACTGATAACGTACAGACATCTTCGATAGTCTCGACGGATAATCGTGTTGCCAGCTTTTGCCACGATGCATTCAAGAGCCATTCCAAAAGACGTGTTCTGTCACAGATCGGCGCCATCATCGTCGAGGGCGATGGATCTAGCATCGACGTTGATGCGTCTACCGGCAAGGAGACGCGCTCACACAAATATCGTAGTGTGCGCACACTATTCGGCGACCAGCGGATCGCCTTAGTCAGGTACAATCTAAGGAGAGCATTCACGTTTGGCATCCTGCCGTGTTTTATAAAGCATCGAATTAATGAATGACCTGATTCCTCATTTTGATTTGCTCCCAGAGATCTGCAAGGATAAACCTGTTGCAATTATGTATGTGACATTAACGCTTAAACTAGTTATAAAATATAACAACATAAACGTTGTATGCGTGAAAACAAATGTTACACGAGAAATTCAAATACAAAATGATACAAAATGATCTTTTTTTTACAAAACTTTAGTACGTTTAAAAGATAACGCAAAAAATTTTTTTTAACAAAAATTATCCTATCGTTCTAATAAATTTTGAATAAACTGTAATAAAAAGACTGTAATTTTTGAAATAACACCTAAGTAACATATCCCAAATTTTGCTCCAATGAATTGTGGCATCCTGCACTTCTTCTCCATTGGACATCTCGTTCTCCATGAGAACAATGGCCAAATTATATAAATTATCCATGACAGACTCGTCTCGAGACTGAGCGAGTTCCGTTAAGCGTTGCAGCAAAAGTGCAAGATCTTGTGACTTCAAACATTGCGGATATTTTCTTAATGTTTCGGTTACAATTCTCAACAATGGCCATATTTCCTCGGGGCTGCTTTCTGTTACCAGATCAACAACATTTTCGATTTTCTTTATCGTTCGTCTGCGCTTAGCTGACTGAAAATGGGAGCCGTCGACAGAACAAGTAAAATTTATCGAATTATCTATTAATTGTTTCACAACTGTAAACAATACATAATAGGTTTATTAAATTAACTATTTTTTATTTATTATCCTAATAAATTTTGTATGTACACGAGAAATATTAATAATAGATAGCTTCGAAAGTTTATGTAATTACGGAGTTATTAATTATTTGGAATTAATTTATTAATATTGTATTTTTTATTGTATATCCATATTTAGATTAATGAGTTTTAGAATGTTTCTAAAGAAAAAGGAAAAAAATTACTTATATTTAGTAATAAGATAATTTGTATATGTGTTTATCATTTTAAAAAATACCTTCACTGGCAAACTGGACAAAACTACGCCATTGTACATCTAATTTACAATTCTCTTGAATGAGTATATACATGCTACGCAGTAAGTCGTTCCATTTATCCCAGTCATAGGCGTAAGCACCATCATCCTGTCTGGAAATACCTTCTGGATAATGAATCTGCATGAAGATTAATAGTAGCCTATATTTTTCTTCAGAACCATTCAAACGTAGGATATCCATTGATACATTTTCGCTAAATCTGCAGAGCGCAATTCTGGATTCTGTCATGATTTGTTTACACACGCTACTGCTGAGTTTATAGAAAGATTCTATCAATTGCTCGTTGTTCGTTTTTACATTCTCGAAAATCCTCTCTGTATAAAATAATTCACATTAGTTTCGAATATACAATTTGGAGAATGTATAATTTTAAGTTTTAATATACCCAGAAACAACAGCAAACTTTTCACATAAGGAAGCAAGTTTGTATGCAAGAAGGAATAATCTACAATCATTTGCAATGCATCTAATATAATGTGACTTTTGAGATGTGTCTTTTTGTATAGCTTAGTGCAAACATTCAAAAGTTCTCTCCATTGTTCTGCTGAAATGTTGCTATGATTTATACTTTTGGGCAGTATATATTTAACCAATATTCCCAGATATGTTTCTTGATAATGCATATAGATGTTAGAATCCAATATTTGTAATATCATAGCAATTATATCGCTGCTTTTTAAATACTCAGCTGATTTTTCAATTGCTCGACGAATTGTGTCTGTCATCAGATTACTGAGTGACTGTCTCTCATTGTTCTTGGCACTCGTTTCTTTACCAGGTTTTTGTGCTTCCTTTTTCACATAAAGAAGATATAAGAAAAGATGAACAAAACAATAAATAAATAAGATAAAATAAAAGATGCTACTAGAAAAAATATCATGTACATTTCTGTATATCATGATTTATCTTACATCGATAATTAGTTTGTGGATTGTAAGCATAATATAGGGCCAATTGGCCTTTCCTATATCATTCTTTTTTGTGTTCTGACATATCTCCATAATAGCTTCCTCATCTTGATACAAGGCCAATAATTCAGTAACACATTTCTGAAAGTTGGAAGATTTATGTTAAAAAAGTTAATAGAGCTTTGGAATCAAATACAAAATAAAATATATATCTTGGAATTAGCAAAATATGCTTTTAATTGAATTCCTTATTTAATTCTCGTTAATTCTTTTAGAAAATTTTGTACAGCCTTGTAAATTGGAATTGATCTAAAACATCCTGTATATCATAAGAATATCCAAATTAAACTGATCGTCTTGAATAATGACACTTTGTAGATTAATAAAATCAGCATAAATAAAGCAGATTACGCAGATCTTTAAATCAAGAATCAATTATCGATTATCGATTGCCGGTTTAAATTGCCGGTTAAATAATACACGATGCGATTTCAATCCTAGATGTAATGACAATATATAACGATGATTAATAACAATGCAAAGTGGTTACCTTTCTCTCTGTCACTTTCGTGCTATCGGCCAACCTCAGGATTCCGGAAATTCTTTCTGATATTCGCGACATACTCGCGATTTTGTCGGCACTCTGGCGAACTTCCAGTTCGGCTCATCAGCTGTAAAAAGAACTAAAAAAATATCACATCGAATCACTCGCAAAATGCGAAAACGTCTGAATATCTAACGCAGCGTCAACGTTTGATCCTCCCGCGAAATGTCGCAAAGTGCCATATTGATCGTGGATTATTTCCGATTATGTAATGTAGATAGTCAAACGTCATTGAATTCTGATCGCGTGAATCTTGACCAATCAAAATGGAAGAGAGCGGGAGCTTTTCAGCACAGAAGACACAGATCAACTGTGTCGCTTGCTCCCAGTGTCATGTTTGATTATGTTGTGATTAGACATGTGGTGTCTAATCACCGGAGGTGTCTAATCACCGGAGGTGTCTAATCACCGGAGATGTCTAATCATCGGATGTGTCTAATCACCGGATGTGTCTAATCACAACGGTCAATGCTAAAGAATTTTTTTAAATAAATCACGATCGCAGAATTGACACAAGATTTATGTCCGATTCCACCAATGTAAATTTTAATCTCGGTTTAACTTGCTTTTCATCTTTTTCTAATTTTTAGAACTAAAAAAAGTAAAGAGAAAAAAGATGAAGAGTAAGTTGGATCGAGTTTAAAGTTAATCTACGTTGGTGGAATCGGGCATTATTGAATAGGAAGAGAATAATTGACTACAATCGGAAAATTTCTTACGGTTAAGGCGCCGTGTTTGACATGTTGCAATTGGACATAGCCACTTACAACGCTGATGCCTGAAGATTTTCCACTGGATCAACCAATCAAAAAATTTTATTTTAAATTGGCCAATCGGACGCTATCCAATATGTAAGTTTAGCTAAAAAGAATAGGACCTATCAACTCGAAATCGATCAATTATTCTATTGGAATTGACCAATTGCATTTGTCATTAAATTTATCATCTATTATCTATTTATCATCTAATACGATTGGTGAATTCTAATGGGATAATTAACCGATTGAGCGAAACGAGGATGGTGAGATACCTTTTTACGTATTCATCATTTGAATCACTGCAATCGAAATGCCGGATGTCATCGTGCGTCAGGAACGAATCTTGTGTTTTTTATATACATATTCGTAAGACATGCGGTGCACAAGATTCGGTGAGGGGTGAAGAATGGTATTGCGATTCTGTCCGTATTGCGCGAATCTTCTCAGATTCCGAGAGGATCCGACGGGCAATCGGTTCGCGTGTCCCACGTGTCCGTACATCTACCCGATAACGATTCCGGTGACTTCGTGCACGTACTTCACGGGCAAGAAGCGCGCCGACATCCTCGACGCCGAGTCAGCATGGCTAGGCGTGGAGTCGACGGACGAGCGATGCCCTAAGTGCTCGCATCCGCGCGCCTATTTCAAGCAGCTACAGACTCGATCAGCCGACGAACCTATGACGCTCTTCTACCGATGCTGCGATCACGCTTGTGCTTACACGTGGCGGGTCGACTAGACTCGCAGGTAACTTGGTCATATGACGCTTTTTTAGATGCTTCAGGCACAAACAATCAGATTTGAATTGATTCCAATTCATTGTCACTCCTACAACGTGCAGTATTTTAATTAGAAGCGAAACCAAGAGAGTGAGTGAGTGGAAGTTAGTTTACTGCAGGTTTTGTCCTAGGAAAAGAAAAGGATATACATAAATGTATCAAAAAGATAGAGTAGCACATGGAATTAGAATTAGGTTAGAAAAAAAGAATGCAAGTCATCTAACTAATCATCTAATCATCTAAGTAGAAAAACGTATATATAATCTGCAATCGACGAATGAAGTTGATGTAATTTTAGGATTATATTCCAAAACATTCTTTTCGAGGAAAATTTTATTCGATTCGATTTTATTTTCTAATAAACATTATACACACATTGGTATCTTATTTGCTTGTTTAACGGTTTTGATCCTTTATTATTATTACTATTATGAGCTTGAATTTGTATTTTTTATTTACAGGTGTGGAATGTAACAAGTATTCGACATATTATGACTCCACGTTCGCTGGGCCCTATGAAAGTTTATATTAACAAAGCCAAGAAGGAAATGGAATTACTCGGACCAGAAGAGAAACATATCTTCTGCGGTGGCAACCGAAGCATCGCAATGGCAGCAGAACTTCTTGGACAAGGCAAAGTGATCGCAGTGCCAACAGACACAGTGTATGGTCTGGCATGTTTGGCTTCCAATTCAGATGCCATTCAGCGATTATACGAAATCAAGCAACGAGAAGAAAGGAAACCATTGGCGATCTGTCTGAGTAGTGTTAAAGATGTGGGTACATGGGGTATTGTGGACGATATACCACCTTATATGCTGCTAAACCTGCTCCCTGGACCATACACCATATGTCTGCGACGCACGTCTGCTCTGAATCCGGCCCTCAATCCTGGCCTCGACACTGTTGGTATCCGCGTACCCAACGACAAATTCATACGCAGTGTCGCCCAGACTGTCGGTCCACTCGCGCTCACCAGTGCCAATGTTAGCGGTCAGCCGAGCAGTCTACATCCGAACGAGTTCAGTGAGTTATGGCCGAAACTTGATGGCATTTTCTATAGTGTAAAGAAAAAACGACGAGACGATCGGCACCGAGTTGGTTCCACGGTAGTAGATATATCGAAGCCGGGCTGTTTCACGATTGTGCGACGTGGTATTGGCTTGAATTTTGTTCTCGGAACATTATACAGGTTTAAGTTGGTTCCAGCCGAGTAATGCACACGTGAATTTGACTGAATGTGATATTAATAAAAAGATTGATACAATTTATGAATTATATGTCTATTTAATTTCACTTTGTACAGTTTTGAAAGTGTAAATATAAAAGACTAAGGATATTTCGTTATTTTCTTCGCATGTTATTATATAATTAAAACGGATAAATTAAAACGAGAGAGGATAAATTATAACGGCATGACAAAGCCGCTTATGATTAAAAAATGTCTATGATAGATATCTGTAAAAATGACAGATTTAGAGATACATAAAGCATAGACTGTCTTAATGTTTTGATAGAAAATTTTCGTCTAATGTAATAAATAAACTGAGTCTTTATATTTATGGAATATTGTAAAATGAAAAAACTGTTGTCTATGACATCATTCAAAGGCTTCAAGGCGATTTTTTTAAAAAAGATATTTTTGAAATTTCATAATTTCTATCTCTCTGTTTATATAAAACAGTTTACTTCATTCCATCGCAAATATCTTAATAGTGCAATTTGTTGTATGATGTGTACACACTTTATACAGAGTATATTTATAGTATAATTCTCCTAAAATCTCAATTTATTGCAATTCATTCAGTCTAAGAACATTTCATATTTTGCGTGAGACGTCATTAAACAATTCCATACGCTTTTATGTTTCAATCTAGCTAATAATATTTCTTAGGTTTTTTTACTTCAAACAATCATTAAAACTTATTACATAAGTTGAAATTGTATTTTTTTCTAATGTACGACGACTGGAGATTGTAAAATGGGGGTATTTAAAGGCAAATAAACATTCATCGAAGATTTCTTTCCACGGAGGATTTTTGCCAAACACTCTACATAAGCTAAATGTTAATCGCATCCTCCTTACAATCCTCCTCACATCCGTTAATTCGCTTGAAACACAAATACATATACATTCGTTCGATATGCTGGATCCTCATTTTGAATCCGGACATAAATATATTCTTAAAAATAGTATTAAATGTAATAAATAAATATTTTTTTAGCGCTACGCATTATGTGATCGCCTCGTTGTCTTTACTGAGCTACATCTTTGACTGGCCTCACGCATTTTAATTACAAATAATCACTAGCATTCGCTTACTCGGGTCGAAGCGATAACTTTTAGGCTCTCACGAAAGTTTCGTCGGCTCTTCAGTGCAACAATATTTGATGGTGTGAGTAAAAATACACCAAATATAAAAGAATAAAAGAGTGTCTAGGTGTAAGAAAAGGACGCTCCAAATTACATTTAAGAGTCACTAACGAATAATTCGCCGGTGATTTGCTAATGTGGAGAAACTTCACAAAATCTATTCAGTTTCTTGGAGAAGCCAATTTCTCAGACACGATGCAAAGCGCCATTATATATTTAAATATATTGTCATATATTTAGATTCAAAAATTCTTAAAAAATTAAAAGCCACACAGTTTCAGAATTTCGAAAACGCGAGAATAGCATCTCGAGCACGAACACATAAGAATTTAACGATTCAGGAATTTAAGAGTTCAAGAGTATTGACGGATTGACGCAAAGATTTTTAAACTCGAGAACTGAAATTATTCCTACATAAATTCCTCGCGTTTTCGAGAAGCTCGAGAATTTTCTGTAATTCTACGGCATGCAAGAACGTAAAAACCAAGCAAACTTTCGCAAGGTCCCGGCGTCTCTTTTCTCTCTCTTTGTTTATATTAATTATATAATAATATAACGAATCAGTCTAATCTTCCTTTGTAGACAATATCCCTGATGACGGTGAATATTTCTTCGCTTCGGTGGCGATGCTGGTAGTTTTGAAGATGCCGAGCAGACTGCTTCTTAAACGGGCGCAGATTTCTTTGCGTACGGTCGCTGTGAACTTAGTGGCCAGACAGCCTATCGCCGCTGTTGCGAAGATTAAATTGTAAAAGAGCACAAGTTTAAAGTTACCAAGCCACTCGATGCGTCCGAAATCACCCAACAGATCGAAATTTGTCAATCCTGAAGAAAATACAAACAAGAAAGAAACATAAGCACACAATTCGACGATAATGAAATGTTAATTATACGAAGTTCCACATTTCGGAAATACTTTTCTCCAACAAGTCCTTTATTTACGATTAACTTGCAAATTCTGTGTTCTTTATCGTAACTTGGGAATTATTTATTCTTTGACATTTTTTATTAAGAAACATATAATGTTACCTAGTATTCGCGATAAAAGCGGTAACGCCGAACTGAGCACAAGTAAAAGGGCGCAGTTCGCGATGATATGGGTGAGCGGCGTGGAGCGAAACCTTGGTTGAACATTTTTCACGCCTGGTAAGGAATACAGGCCGATCGCGCTGGTTACGGCCAAGTAAAGGATCACTGCTACTTCGATAGCCGCACCGACGGGTCCAAGCTTGGACAGGGAGCTGATGCCGAGCGTAAATTGCTGTTGAAATGAAAAAGACCACGTCTTTGCAAATTAAAATAAAATTAGCATTCATATTAAATAAAGAAGAAGAAGAAAAACAAGAAATATAATTATCAAGATGATTTATCCATGGAATAAATTTTTTGAAATAAATTAGGTTCTTTTTATGAAATAAATTCATGAACTTTTTTAAGGCAGTTTGAAGAAAGGAACGTATACAAACCCTCGTGCTCAACGGCAGCGCCTTAATGCCTATCAGCAACTCTATGGTGTTTTGCACCGCTAATAGGGCCGTGGCGGTAGATAGAAATAGCAATGTCAACATTGCTACTGGGTAAAGTAATGTACGCCGAACCCACCAGGTTCTTCGCTGCTGATCTAATAATTGTCGCCGGTTCTTAACATCCTCTAATCGTTGAAAAAGGCCTTTCTGCAGAGCACCGTTCCTTAGACAGAGCAGACCCGGATTAATGCACAATAGCGACTCGTCCTCCTCTTGTATCGACCAACTGCAACTCGATGCCGGTGACATTGGCGCCGGCGATACGTACGACTTTCCTGTGATTTTCACATGCTGCAACCTAAATGGAATTATATATACAAAACTTTTTCACCTATTGAATATAAATTAATTCAAAAAGAAAAAATATTCTTTTTATTACTATTGCTATCATTATTATAACAATTATACATTTCAATATTAAAATCCACGCGTTTTACAATATTCAATATCTATAAATTTTAAATATAAAGAGAAGAATTATTACCTTCTGCGAATACAGTCCTCTTCTAATCTATACGCGAAGAACTCATCATCTAGGTTTTTCAGAAACTGGGGTTTAACGAGAAACGACCCCACTACGTCAAACAGTTGTACGAATCCCACTGGAGTACATACTGAAAGTAAAATAATTTACGAATTAGAAGATACTTTTGAGATTTTATTAACGCGCTTAAAGAATATTACAAATTGATTTCTTTCTGCCACATGGATATTGGAATTACATGAAAATGTATGATACCTACCCAATAACATCACTACGCCGACAAATGAAACGCAGGAGTACAAGAAAGGTAAATAGTAACTCCATAAATCTGTAAAGCAGATCATACCTCATATCATGTCGATATTCTCATTTCATATCATATAATTTTATCGTTCTCGTATATCTAAACTATATACAAGATATGATCTCATACCTGAGATGTCAATACTCACTGAGCAACGTGTGTAAACTTGAGTTTTGATAATCCAACAGGGCCGACAGGACGTAGGTCATTCCCAGAACGAGAGCACCCAAGAGACAGAGAACTGTCACCGTCTCGTATACCCTCGCCATCACGCCCTACAATCACGAGATGGTTACAAAGGGATTACGGAGACTATTACTAGGAATCAATCTCATTTTACTTTTTTATGGCCTTCGAAACCTTCCGACTCCGTGAAGAGATAGGCGAAAGGCAGAAACACGAAAAGTGACAGATTCGAGAACAGGAACACGTGATTCCACAGACCTGTCGGAAATTAATCTTGTTACGATGTTACGATGTAATGGAATATGTAAAGGAGGTATTTATTTATTTGATTATAATATAAATGAATATTTTTTTTAATTTATAAATATGTAAATAAATATCTTTTTTTTAATTTACAAAAGAATAGACTGTCAATTGGTGATATTCGTCTTAAAATTTTTATCTCCTATGCTTTTCGATAGCATTAATAAATTTTAATATATATATATATACGAGTGAATTAAAACGAAATATTCAACGAAATATTCTAGGATTTATCCTACCTTTTTATATTTTTCTTTCGTTTAAATCTCTTAAAGTTAATTCATCCTTTTATATTTCACCTTTTTATTTTAATATTAATTTTTTATAATTTTGATATCTTAAATTAAAATGCGATTATTTTTAAGCAATTATGCCAGAAGAAAATAAACTATTCTATTTATTTATTAATCTCTTCATCCTATCTTTCTATCTACGTGCGCATTTTATATATTTCAAGTAACTCGTATTACATCTTTCTTCAGATGATTTGACTTTACCTTGGATGAGGGAACTATTGAGCCACTTGACGTAGTAGCTCTTCGGATAGAGAATGAGAACCTCATTGCTAGCGATAGACACCGGAAGTAGAAGGGTCGCGCCAATGGAAACTGCGAGGGCAACCGTACACAGCCAGAGGCTGATCCTGTACACGGTGGCCTCATCTTCGTCCACCGACAGGTAATCTTCGCGATCCCGGCGTCTGAAGCGCGCAATCAGCGCATAACTTGAGATGTACAGCAACAAGAAAAGCAGCAGGAATATCTGCAAGGACACAATTATGTTTTTAACAGCATGTTAATACATATATTTGCATGATAAACGTATATACATGTGTCGTTTTATTATTCTTCTATTTTTATATACAACGATATTCAAATTATGTGCGCTATTCACTATTTTGAATATAATAAATATAATGAAATATAAGAAATAAAAAAGTACATATATTTATGTATTAATATTTTACATATAATTAATATTTTATATATAATAAATTATTAATAAGAGATAGTTTTCTGGTATCTCTGAAATAAATGGCTGATAATAGATTAGATAACATGTGAATGATGACCCAATTTCCACAAGGTAATCTTATTTGTAGAGTAAGAATTATGAGAAAATTTTCTTGTTAATTTATTCAAAAGCAATTTTTGCATGTTACAAATACTTGAATACTATGAAATTTTTCATGCTTTATAGCTTAATTTTTTTCCGGTATTTTTCCGAAGAAAACATGCAAATAAGGTAAGGTTTAAGAATACATGGATATGTGACTTTAAAGTTACTGGATTCAATAGAAAATTATTATAATAATTAAATTATAATATAACGATTGATCATCACAATGTATTAGATCTTTTTAAATATCACGAGCTTTTTCAGTTATTGCAAATTTGATTCGTAAGTTATACAGTTGTATTACACAATATGTACTTTAAAGCGATAATTGATAGTCGCGGAGGCATTTCACGTGCAAAGACAGAGACGTGGAAAAATTTGTTTGATTCGCGCTAATTGAGACTCGATGTCTGATAATTGTTGAGACACCATCGTTACGTAAATCATCGCTGAACACCATTCGCAATCACTCACGGTAATTAGCGGAATACTTCTAACATCAGAAAATACAGGAAATACATCGGCAAACGAAGCCATACTAGCGACTAAAACTTTAAACTTTAAACTCCGTCGCTTTTTTCCGTCTGTTGCGGTATATTTTATAAATATTGACAGTTGTAAATATGCGATATTTGTAAATATTGTAAAAATAGATTTTTCAGAATTATTCCTAGAGTTGTAACACTTAATCAGTTTTTCTTTGTTAATTTATATTCTTATTAATAGTATATATATTTAAAATAGTAATTAGTTAGTTACTTAAAAATTAAATAGTTAATATAAACTTTTAGCTTAACTCAATTTCAAAGACATTAATTTTTTTTAATTCAATTAATTATTCTTTAAATTCTAAACTAACTAACTAATTCTAAACTAACGTAACTTTAATTTTCTAACTTTTTTTTATAATTAAAATTTTATGTTCGTACGTATCGTAACTATTTTATCGCTTAGGGTAATCAAATTAAAAAAAAAATTACGTTTTAATTTAATATAAATAGTGCTCTTTAAAATTAACTTTTCATTTAACTTAATCATAACGTAACCGACTCAATTTTGTAGGCCATCTAACTGTGACCCAACTTGGTTACACAAAAATCAATTTATCTAATCTTGGTAATATTTAATTAGTTCCTTTCTAATATTCTTTTATTAATAGCTCACGTACTAGATCAGTTCCTTAATTAATGTAACAAACAAGCTCCGTGATTTTCTATTCTTAGGCGCCATTGCACGATAACAAACGACGTTGCCCGTGGGTAACGGATCGAATTGCTCAACAATGACCAACCGTCCATTGTCTCGCTTAACGGGGCGTTTCGGTTTCATTTATTAATCATCTCCCCGATCGATACCCTCCTCACTTAACCCTCGCTTATTTATTCAACCGCCGACCGAGCGCGTTTGACTGTATCGCGCGTATGTCGATGTTATATCGTCATATAGTTATTACGTACATAATCAACGGCCCATTAATTCCCAGGGAATGTAATAACTGAGCGCGTATAATTACAGTACAGGACAGCCACGTGCGAGACATTTTCAGCTGGCGTGGTTCCTGGCAGCACCACCTCGCTCGCCGAGAATAGAGACGGAAGAGAGACAAAGTCGAGCTTCCACGAGAACAATGCGCCGTAACATGCGTCAACATTTGCATTCTAATTTATGTACATAGAAAAAAAAAAAAATTAGTCTTGAACCAAGATCATATATTTTCATCTATGAAGAGTGTTATAATCTTCATAAGATCTTTCGGGTTTCGAGTTGAGCAAAAGTAATATCTCGTATCGACGCAAATTTAATTAAATCAAGACTAAATGATCTTTCAGAAGATAATATTTTTGCTTATATATGAAAATATTATTTGTTTTCATTTAAGATTGAGATTTTTTTTTCTGTGTATCGAGTCGCGAAGGAAGATTAAACTGCAACGAATGAAACTAATTAAATCTGAGATAAAAGAGGAAAAATGTAAATTCTTTCATAATGTAAATTCATTTATGAAAACTTGACGCAATTTCTCCGAAATTCGCGGGAATCTCCGATACCAATTCGCGCCTTTCCCACATTAATTAAATCGTTCCTTTGTGAAATTCCGATTCTCGCGAATGCTCTATCTCGCGATAATAAATTTGTTGTAATGTCGCGTTTGTGTTAACATCACGACTTTATCGCCTTTATTTCGTAATCATCTTCTTTCTCGCTTGTGAACACAGTGACTGCTTCCGGGCATTGGCTGACTAAACGCGGAAACGAAGCGATCAGATCACTTGGCGGGTCGCCACGAGAAAAAGAAGTGGAACATGCTTTCACGATAACTTTCCAGAGAGATAAAAGTTGAAGAATGGTATTGAAGAAACCAGGTAGCTCGTAAACGTGCCTATCTAATCACGCGTAGATACCCGATTGTAATCCTGCAAGAATGGTTTTTAATTACTTTAGACAACTGAGACATTCGCTATATTTAAATCTTTCTTCTAATGTACTTTCTCGCTGTCAGAGAAGAAAAAGAAAGATCTTGAAAGAGATACGTATAAATTATAATAATTTAGTAATTTATACTTTTCATGTGTAATATTTATATATTTGACTCTCTTCTTTTGTACTTTTTATTATATATTTTTTTATTATATTTCTCTCTTGTATTTTATGTTTTCCTTATATCTCTTTATTTTATTTTTCTTTCTTACGCCTCATACTTTTTTCCTTTTCATTATACTTCTTTATTTTTTCTTATACTTTATATTTTTCTTATATTTCTTTCTTTACTTTATATTTCTTTCTCTTTCTTACGCCTTATATTTTTTTCCTCTATTCCAAACTTTCTTCTTATATTTTATATTTCTTGTTTTGCAAAGAACAGATTTGGTTTATGATAACAGAACAATAATATTATTTTTAGCCTACATCCATATAAGATAGTTATGATGAGCACAGATTCTCAAAGTGATATGATAGTCTCAACTATAGTGAGCAGATATACGTTTGTAATCGTAATGATTATTTCTAACAATAATTTCTGTAATCATAACAAAAATGCTTTGTTTTAAAAGTTATTTTTAAAAATAAAGGATAGAATCCTCAAATCCTATGAAGATAAAGCTTTACAAGCTTTATTCATAATTATCCACAATCATATTAAAAATACGTATAATAAGCGTCATAATATAACACATTTTATTATACGTGAAGATTTTTCTTGATGGTAAAGCTGTTTATTCTATGTTGCAATGAAACTGATTCTCAGTGCTGTATCATGCAAATATATCCTATAAATCTCTCAATCTTGCTGTTCTGCAGATTCCATTAAAAGAGAACGATAATTCTTCTATACATGAGGATAATTTTAATCAAATGTTACTTATCGTAAGAATTACGGTTGTAAAAACCGTAAAAATAGACACGTTTCAAGAGTTACACTCGATATAAAATCAATCTTATAATATCAACTTGAATCCATATACATTTCACTTCCAATTATAGAGAATGTTGTAACAATCGGCAATTTTTTCTTTCGTGCATATTTCTCTTTCATGCTCCTACATGCTTCCTTTCCATCCAGGTGTCTTCGACATTTCGCGCGGAATTCTCGATGAGGCGACCGGTTTGCCAGGCGTCGTCATGCCAGGAATCCGCAAAACAAAGTCGACGTCGTCCTCTGTTCGCCGGGAAGGCCCGTTTCCTCAGCGCGACAGCAATTTGCGAGGCGCATTCGACGCAGGGTGAACGCACTTGCCGAGACGTCGCGTCGTCCGATTGAAATTCCACCGGACTCGCTAGATTTCGCATCTACAGAGAACGAAAGAGACGAAGAAGTTCCAGATGAGAATCTGAAGATTCGACAGAATCTTGTGATGTCTCGTGTTCCAGATTTCGGGGGATCGTCGTCCAATTTGTGAACTGTAATATTTTGCCGTAGACCGTCGTCTTTCCAACAATTTCTCTGTAATTGAATCCACCACAAATAATGAGTCTCGTTTTATTCATTTCTAAACGACGTCGTTAAATTGATTATCGATTTATCAGAGGGGAATATACAGTTCCGGCTTTGGACTACCATGTTCCGAGACCGTTAAAAGTAACGGCACGTAATTGGTCTGACGAAAGCAGAATATATGTACCTTGCATTAATATATATTCACTAAAGATAATACTAGTTTATAAAAAAAAATATCTTTTTTAATTATTTTGAATTAAACAAAAATTTTGGACGTGGTCAAAAAATTTAGCTTCAAATTTCGCAAAAAATACATTTATTGCATATTAAATAATCTCAATTATTTTGGAAACTTAACGTGCTGGAAAAATTTGGCTTGCAGCAGCATTTTTAGCAAAATCCAAAAATCTATAAGAAGCACATCGTCCGATTGAAAATAATTTTTTGTTGAAATGACTAATGTCATTAGTCGTCAAAAATTTTGCCTTGACCGAGAAGTATCTTTCCGAGTTATTCATTTTTGTATCGAGATTCACACTCGGCGAAACTAAGCTGAAATAAACGAAGGAATATTAATAAACAAACGCTCGGCAGATTTTTATTTATAAAACATCTGCGGAGAAGGTGTGAAAAAGAGAGGACATCGTCTCTTCCGTTTTGGCAGAAAATCTCGTTTTGTGTGTGTGTGTGTGTGTGTGTGTGTGTGTATGTGTGTGTGTGTGTGTTTCACGTTTTCTGAAATAAAATTCTCTTCCCCTACCCTCCCTATCTCCCTTGCCTTATTGGCTTATAAATACGTACTCGACTTGTAAATATACAAGATTTCCCTGTACATTTAAACGCTCGCGCTGATACGATCGATCGGGAACGAACGCTCGATTCGATAAACAAAACAAGTAGACCTCGCTCGTCAGTGGTCCACGTCGACAAGCGGCGGCGGGATTATCGGAGGCGCTTCCGACGGCCGCGATAACGTTCTGCCCGCATGCGACGAGGGGCTCATTTTCGCGATTAACGCGTGCGAGCGAGCGAACAAGTGTGGCCTCGATTCGACTTTAATATCGCTCCGTTAATCTCAAGCTTGATGATCGCGCCCGTTTTCTGCGCGATCAACAAGCCAGGGATGGCTCGAATCCGCGTGATGCTCACGCTTTGCGCCATAAAACGAACTTCGCGTTCGGGAAACCCCGAGTTTATCATGCACTCCGTCGCAATCGAGAGGTCAATTGTGTATCTTGAATCCGAGATGAAAATTAAAAGTGAGGAAATTTATTATTACATTTTGATATGTAAAGTCGCAGATATTTCGATAAATTTCCTCATTTTATAATTTTTACTATAATCGCTTCAAGAGATCTGTTTTCTGCTTTTGCATTAGAGGATTGCACTGAAATTTTCCTTCTCGTGTCCTTTTTATCAAACTTCAAATATATATTTTTTTATTTTAAGTGTACACACAGGGTGTACACTAGTTCAGTTAGAAAAAATAGACCAAAAAGATACAATCGACCCTTCAGATACGACGCTTGGAAGCTCCAGTCAATTATATCGAGTCAAAGTTGTGTATCTTGAAACAAAATAAAAGTTACAAAAGTGAGGAAATTCATTAGATTTTTGACAAGTAAAGTCGCAGATGTCCCGGCAAATATCCTCAATTTTCCCTTCAAGATACACAATCGATCCCCAGATGTGACGCCCTGAAAGCTCCAGCGAGTCAATTACGTAAACGAAGTGAAAATTACTAAAGTGAGGAAATTCATTGAGAGTATCTTGAATTTTACATATCAAAATTCAGTTTAATTTTCTTATTTCTCTGATTTCCAAGATACACACGACATCGACCTCCTCCTGGAAGCTCCACAAGTTCGTCTATCATAAAAAAACGACATTCCCGAAGCAAGACTGGCGCAAATCTTCGCCAGTCCATTTCGCGTTTGAGGGTCGGGTCCGAGGGTCGATTTTTATTCTATTTTACGCGTGAAGACGACGCGGCAAACTCGACCGTGAAAATCCTCGCTGGGCTGAGGGGAGAGTCCGCGATGATACTCACAATGTTCTCGCGCACGGTATTGTGAAACAACTGTTCCCTGAGGTCAGCGTCATCTTCCATCTTCACCTATTTGTCAGCGGATGATCTCGATCGGCCAACAGCAACATTTTACCGCTTTGCACGGCCCCCGGCGACGACATACCCCGACGGACGGCACTCGCGCGCGACGAGAGACGTCGAGCGGAACCCCGAAAGGCTCGCTCGTTTTTCGGCGACGGGCGTGTGTTTTGTGTGCACGCACGAGTGTAGATGTAGTGTACACGGCGCGCGAGCTATGTGTTTACGCAACGACAGGCATAACGAATGACTGACTGACTGATTGACCGAACAAACAACCAACCAACCGACTGACCAACGGCTATCACGGCTGCTAACGTACTGATTGTCAGAGAGCTGAGCAACTCGGATAACCTTCAATGGAAACGCGCCGATTGCAATTCTCGCCTTCTTCGCTCGATGCGCCACGATCTCGTGAAGACGTGGGGACTTTTTTCCTTTCGTAAGAACGAAAATGTTCCTAGCTGCAATGTTTGAGAATGGTATTGGCTAGTTCTAGATTAATCAGAAGCGCAATCTCTGTAGTGATTTCTTATTTGGTTCCGCCACTTCTACGGATAGTCGCGCGAATCTTTATTTTGAACGGTACGTTTTTTGATAAGTATCTTTAAATGTGATTTTTTTGTTCGCTTTATAAGTGTTATATACTTGAATATTCAACCAGATACGCAATCAAGATCTTATTAATTTAATTTTTTTATTATTTTTATTATTTCTATCTTTTGCCATTTTTTATCCATTTATTAAAAACGTTATTGATCTTTGGAAGGAGGAAAAAATTTATTTCTAAAATTTTTCTCTTAAGCAAAATATATTTTATTAGGTTTATTTTCTGTTCGTGCACTGGGCTGCATTAAAATTTTTTATCTCGCTTTTGTCAAACTTCAAATCTATTTTATCTATACAGTTATTTTATTTTAAATGTAATGAGTGTGCACTAGTTGAGCTACAAAAAACGGATCAATTTTATTCTTTATACTACTGTGATCAAATATAAACGAGATTTTTAAATTTAAACTGCGCGGGTTCATCGATTCTAACAAATATTTTTTTGATTAAATTGGTAGTACTGTCTTTGACATCTGTGTGAAATTTCATGTCATTCTCTTCATTTGTTTAATAGTGAACGCTCGTTTTTGTGAATATCTAAAAGTATTTTTTTCGATTTTTACGATGTGTGATTCTGTTGGGCAAAGATTGTATGAAAATTGTATTTTATTTTGTTTGCGGAATGAAATTTCTGCTACTGAAACGTTCAGAATGTTGCAGAAGGCTTTTGGTGACCAGGCTCTGTCAAGACCAAGAGTATTTGACTGGTATAAAATGTTGAAAGATGGTTGAGAAAGCGTAGAAAACGAACCACATCAAAGACGACCAAAAACATCAATTGATGAACAACACGTGAAGCAAATCAAGGATTTGGTGCTTCAAAATCGTCGATTGACAATTAGAGAACTTGCCGATACTGCAAACATTTCATTTGGATCAGTCCAGACCATTTTGAAAGACCATTTGTGCTTGAGAAGAGTCAAATCTCGTTTGGTTCCGAAAACACTCAATTTTTTGGAAAAACAGCGTCGCGTTGAAGTGTGTGAAACAATGATTTCTGACTACCAGGACAAGATGAAACGCATGATAACTGGGGATGAGACTTGGATCTATGCGTACGACCCGGAAACAACCGACCAATCGAGTAATATATCGTGCAAAAAGTAAGGCAAGACCAAAAAGATTGCGCCAAAGTCGCTCAAAAATCAAGGTTTTGTTAACAGTTTTCTTCGATTATCGTGGTGTGGTGCATTATGAATTCCTTCCGCCGGGCCAAACTGTCAACAAGGAATATTATTTGAGTGTTATGCGTCGTTTGCGTGAAGCTATTCGCCTCAAGAGGCCAGATTTATGGACAGACAACTCATGGTTTTTGCATCACGATAATGCGCCATCTCACACTGCACTGGTTTTTCGTGACCATTTCGCCAAAAACTCGACCCATATCGTTCCACAACTACTGTATTCGTCTGATTTAACACCGTGTGACTTCTGGCTATTCAGTAAACTCAAAAGACCGCTCCGGAGACACCGTTTTGAATCGATTGAGGAGATACAAGCCGAAACGAAGAAGGTATTGAAGGCCATTCCGGAAGAAGAGTTTTCAGAGTGTTTCGACGATTGGAAAAAGCGTTGGCATAAGTGTATTGCATCGGGAGGAGATTATTTTGAAGGCGACGAATTTGATTTTGAAGAATAAATAAAAATTTTTCACTCTATAACAAAAATCTCGTTTATATTTGATCACAGTAGTATATAAATATTCTTTATATAGAAATATATGATATTATTACCTTTGCGTCACTAAACGGCTTAATAAATGTCCTATAAAGATTTTCTTTTTCTTTGCTCTTTGAATTTAGAATAAGAATTATTAATTCAGAATTTATAAATCTTGATATATACTATAATCTCCAAAAGATCACTATTTTCTTGTGGTCTAAGAACACTGTTATGGGAATCGCACTCTGTTAAAGAAATAACATATGTAAACATAGACCGCCATTATTTCTTTTGACAATTCCTTTAAATATTGCGCTTTTCTGATTATCTAAGATTCTAATATTAGCCGCGTTTGCCAGATAGGCGAAGAAGAAAGAATGAGAAACTCAAATACAAGAAACGCAAGCAACACTAACAAACCTAATATTCGTCTTGCACATTTTTTTTAAACAAACATCAACTTTAACGCTTAGTTATTACTTTCTGAGTGCCGAGCGACGATTTTTTCTTTCTAAATCTTTCTTTTTAGACTAAAAGGAATCGAAACAGTGTAAATTTATCTAATTTTGAGAGGTAAGAGACCTAAATATTTATCTAAACAAATAAATAATTCTACAAAACGGAAAATTAACATTATAAAATAAATGATGAATGGGATAATTTATATATATATATATATATATACATATGTGCACGTATATATTTACAGGGATTAATTGGAACATGACTTTCGAGGCAAGCAATTTGGGATCGCGAATATCGATAAACAATGTTTAATCAAAATCAATAACTTGTATTATGCGCATTAACAATCCTTAAGTGCACTGTAAATGTATTCGCATTAATAATAATATTACTATTCGCAAGCGTCTCACTCGAGTAGAAAAAGATATTAGCTCTTTCTCTCTCTTATCCTTAGCTGCGAAACGATAATCCTTCAGTCCTAAACAGTATAAAATATTCATAAATAATACAATTTCTCTAAAATAAATTAAAAAGAAATTGCATAAATTATTAAGAAATTGCACAAAAATTCAAAATATCAATAAATTATTCTTATTGAAGAATAATTACTGATTATCTAGAATATATTATTATACAATGTAATTTATATTTGAATGTAATAATTTATAAAAATATCACAAATATACGCCTCTCCGTTTTTTTTTCACGCATTCTTCGTCATTCAAATTCTCTAGCACAAAAAGTCTGTAATAATAAACCTTTCTGAATTAAAAATTATTATACAACAATAAATTGAGATCTTTAAGATTTTCTGATTGTAAGAAACAATCGTGTCAAGAACTGCCCTATACTGTTTAGAGTCAAGGATAGTCACCGAAGAATTAGATCATATTGATTGCTGATATAAGGCTATGCTGCTACTTCGCCAAAATTTTTATGTCCCGTGTCTTTGGCGTGCTGCTGTGCCGCCGCTTGTCCATTCAGCATAATCTTGCAGTCGATACACATTAGCGTGAATTTTTGCACATCCGTAAACTGACGACTTGATCTTGCCTCCTTCGCAAGTTGAGCAGCCTCCAATAGTATGTTTTCATCCTCAATGGGAAAGATTGTTTGAATACTGCCACCCTAATAAAGAGAAGAATTACATTTTATTAAATATCCAAAAAAGAAAAAAACTACCTGACAAAACATAAACAAAAAGAAAATTGAGATAAAATAAACTTTTTAAGCGTTGGCATTAAATATTTACATCGAGTGGCTCCAAGTAAAGAGGATCGTAATGAATCCCATCAAATATAAGAAAGACTCGTTGAGCATAATGTTGGTCCTCGCCAAATCTATTAATTATTGCATTAATGCTATCAATCACTGCTATCTCCAATCCGTAAAATTTAGATAGGATTGACAGTTCAATGGCGCCACCCCAAGCATCAGACTTGAGGATCCAGTCACAGTATTCAGCGTTGGGTCTACCAAGAAATGCCTCAGAGTATTCATTTGGATCTGCCGCTACTGCATTTGCTATAATTTCTCTCATGAAACTGGCACAACTGGTGTCAACTTTTCCTGAAAAAGCGTAAATTAAATAATAATTAATATGATTTACAATTTTTGAGTCCAACATTTAATTTCCTCTTATAAAATATCAAAATTATTCTATCTTTCATCAAATCACATAATTTTAAAAATTGCATTTATCCTAAAAAATTATATATTTTCTTAACATTTTTCCAGATTATTTAAACTTAAGAAAGTTTTTTTGAATATATATATGACCATACGATATATATTTTAAAACTTTAATCTTCTTTTACCATTTAGAACATAACCCACACTGGTAAAAAGACAGGAATTGTCCGCGGGTACAACCTTTCTCATCAGAATGCCTGGAACGTTGGCAAAGTTCTCCTGATCAATGATATGCGATCGGCCAAGATTGTCCAGTCTCTGCTCATGTCTATTGAACACAATCTGCATTTGATGTTTATATAAGAAGTTTTTTCTCTGACCTTCAATATTAAATTATCTTTAAGTAAGATAAACAAAATTATAATTTTAACATGACTAAGATCAAATTATTCGTTATACATTTGAATTTAAATAAAAGCAAAAATAAAAACATGAGTTTCACTTTATAATTCTTGTATACAAATTTTTACAATACTTCGGCATTGTATTCTATATTTGTATCTCATGTTTTGAAAAGAGTTTCCATGATGACTATGATGAAATTAACATGATTTATATTCCGTAAATTATGTTCCATATCTATAGATGTGCAGTCACTCAAGAAAGAAATACTCTCCTTACGCACACAGACGAGACAAACCTGTTTCTCCTCAACGATCAGGGTGTCCCCGGAGACGATGCCGGCGCGCTCGATCGTGGCATCGGTCGCGTCTAGATCGACGGGCTTCGGTGGAAAGCCGACGAGGACCTGAAGAGCAGCGGCTGGTACGCCAGTGAGCTCAGCGAGTTTCGCCTTCAGCTGCGATACCTTATCGTGTGCCGCAAGGCCGTGAACGGCCTTTTGACCCGATTTCGTTTTTATCCGAAGCACGAAACCCGCCATGACCGTCGGACCAATTCCTTGTAGCTGGCAGTGACTCGGAGTACACGAGTCTCCGTCGATCAGCTGTTTTGCGCGTGCCTTAGCGGCACCTTTGTTTTCGTCCTCGTCCTCGTCGTCGTCGTTATCGTCACGGTTGAAACGATCAATCACGTATTTACGTGATTGTGCATCGTTATCGCGATAATAAGATAATAACAAACAGCTACCAACTGGCTTATCCCAAGTCTCGCGATTGGAATGCGAATGAAAAAAGCGGCGTGAAGTTGTCGAGTATCATAGATAGAATTGAATAAGAATGTCGAATCGGATATGTCGTGACAGAGAAGAACCTGAGAGCGGCCACGCCGGCCTTTTTCGTGACACCATAAAAATCGCTATACACTACCGCCACCAACGCTCTATAATTGAACCGTGGACAATTACAATTCACATCTACTTTGCGATAAAATCATGTCTCGTGAAATAGATGTGGTGCGAGTCCATGCTACATCGACAAATTGTAGATGAGAATGTATATATATAATTTTATTTATATATATATTTACGTTAGCATAATTTTTCTTTTATCATAGATTAAAGTATTGATTAATATTGACATAAATATACACATTTATCAATATATTAATTTTTTATACATTCGTATACATTTCGATTCGATGTTAATTCGATGTCGATTCCATTAATATTTCTCGCTGGGATATTAATCCATATTAGTTTTTTTCTTTTGTAAAATTTCTGTTTGATATAACGAAAATAAATCGTGAAATTTATAAAATATGATATTTATTCATATAATCTATTGACCATTATAAAAAAAGCAGCTGTTGTACAGTAACTGTATGTGTAATAATAATAATAATAATGAAAGGTAAAAAATAATTAAGAGAATAATTTTTGTATTTTTTCTTTTACAAAAAGTTAAGTTTGAAGATAAATTGGAATGGAAAAGAAAATTGTCCATATGTAATTATTTATTTTTATGACTAAAAATGTGTGTGTGTGTGTGTGTGTGTGTGTGTGTGTGTGTGTGTGTGTT